TTAAGTTCGACTTGAAGGGATAATAGCTGATACTGTAAGGTTAAAACAGGTGAGGAACTGACACAGGGTTGTCATTTAATACAGGTCCACAATTCATATCAATACTTCTCTGTCCAGCCAGATGAAATGAAATATACAAATACTTTTATTATTACAGGTATAGAAATTGTTCGAAAACAGCTCTGAATTTACTGCTTACGTATATGTAGTGTATACCACAATGGTCAGCAGCACAAAATTATCAATTAATAAACGGTATAGATACTAGGACAGCCAATTAGGAAGTGGAAAGTAGCAAAGGAAAGCACATCAAAATTATTGTTTTTTGAGCAATAACTATCAAACTTTGACCATGCCAAAATATCCTTTTTTACAGTATCTAAGCAATCCATCATTTGGAAATGTATACATGTTTTCATCAACAGATAATATAATCATCATTTTCATCTTGTATACATTTTGTTCCAATCATTAATGATAATAATAATAATGGTCTTCAATTTTCCATTTTCACATTGTATCATATTGAGTCAAAGATCATCTCACATATGGACAAACATTAAAAATGTACACTATCTACGGCAAAATGACAACAGTGAAAAGCACATGAGTAAGAAAAGTACACATGTACAGGATATCAAAGTCACACACAACCTGATCCTGCTAACGTAACTGGATGTACTATAGTAAAGTGCCCTGAGTAGATTGGGCTGCCCCAACCAACAAAGACAGCTGGAGTCTTCACCTCAACCACATGTATACCAAGTGTAATGCAACTTAATGAAAATATTGTAAAACACTTAATGAACAAGAGGCCGAAAGGACCTGTATAACTCACCTAGATATTTTAGCAATCATTGGAAAATATTCTCAATAAAAGAAATTTTGCAAATATTTCCATTGAGTCTCATTGGCTTTAAAGAATATGTTCAGACTAAATGAAACTTTATACTACTCTGTCACAGCATGCTACTGGTCAAACATCATTACCCAGGGCCTCCTGGTATTGACCTTTGTGATCTTGAAAGTACGTCAATGTTATTTATTTGAGGAAATTTATAGCACTTTATGCAAGGTACCTATTAGCCATACTCTGGTCCCCCTAGTTATTCTTAAGAATTTGTTTAAAGGTTTGTACATATTTGACACCTGTGACCTTGAAAGAACCTGTCAGTGTCTTTTATTTGGGGAAACTGTATAGCACTCTGTCCCAGGTACCTATTGGCCAAATATCATTACTTTAGGCCTCTTGGTTATTCAGAAGAAGTTGTTTAAAGGTTTCAAACACATTTGACCCTTGTGATCCTGAAAGTAGGCCAAGGTCAATTATTTGAGGAAACCTCATAGCACTTAATGTCAGGTACCTACTGGCCAAGTACCACTAGAAACATTTTAAGGTTTATTACATACTTGATCCCTGTGACCTTAAAACTAAGTCAAGGTCATTTATTTGAGGAAATTTATAGCACTCTGTCCCACCAACCTACTGGCCGAATATCTTGGCACTAGGTCCTCAAGTTCAAGAAGTCGTTCAATGAAAAAGTTGATGGATGACGGACGACAGACAACAGACCATCCATAAGCTCATTTGGCAGTTCGTGCCAGGTGAGCTTAAAACTCAAATCTGGTATACAATTTGCCACCAACATGCTTGGTCTTCATTCCAGGAATCAAACTATTATTTCAATCACATTATCTGAGTGAATGGCTCATCAATACAATCAGGACATACACAATCCATATCCTAGTAAGGATACAATAGGATCTAGTCTTTTACCTAATCAAGCTTCAAATGAGATATTAAAACAGTCAATGTGGTCTTTGATAAACAGGAGACACATCAAAATAGTAAAAGCATACATGAAGGACTAACTGTGGCACAAAAAAAATAGAGAAGGTGGACAGTGAAGGACTTACAGGAGACACATAGAGATAGAGTCAATGTAGATAGGACTAACCAGAGACGCATCAAAATAGTCATTGCACACAGGACTAACAGGAGACACATAGAGTATAGTCAATGTGATCAGGTCTCACTGGCGTTCCTTTGAAAAATAATTCTACTGGATTTCTTTATTGATACATAGGTTGTTTCATCTCTAATGGTAAAAAGAGTTTCTAAATGTAGCATGTAATTCCTGCCATAAAAGCAGGTTAACAACAGGCTGTGATTCCAAGCAAGATACATACAGCACTACAAGCAGGCCGCTGCTGTAAACAGACAGCATGGCACAGTCTACAGAGGGAAGATTTCTGCAATAAACTGTTGCACATAGTTTGCAGTGCATCTCAATGAATCCATAGCAACAGCAGACTCTAAGAGTGTTCATAAAACACAGAGATGCTTTTCTGTCACCAAACTAAATGTCAAAGAGAGGAGAATGATCTAGGGGAAACAACTCCTACTTTTCACTATACAATATAAAATTCCCAAAGTTATATCTATGGTTAAGCCATATATCATTCAGCAATAGATCACTCTTCAATATAACAAAATACTTAACAGGTTGAAATTGTTCAGCCCACTTGTTCAAAAGGTGATTAGCCTTGGCCTTGTGTGATACATTGGTCTTTTTGGCCTGTATCTGTTGGGTTCGGTAATTTAATCCCATCAAATGTATACATGCAGATCCATCAACAAATTATTTCTCATTTCTCTTGATAATATGTATATATATCTTATATGTCTTTTCGGTATCAAAATAAAAGGTTAGAATTTAAGCCTTTAGATTTAATTATAATAAAAATAAGATTTAGCAGTTGTTTCCCCTAATTTGCTTAATAATTTGATAATACAAACTTGTTTATATGTGTTTGTATGTGTTCTAATGTCTATGTCTATGCTTGTACCACTGTTTGTCACTGTGTTTGGAGAGGGCTTAAATAGGCTATGCCTGCTGCCCAATCCATTTGTCTTTTGACAATAAAATTTATTGAAATTGAAAAGGTGATTAGCTTAATCACTGTTTAACAACATTGTTCTCTAATGATTGAGTAAATGCACAAGGTAAAATCTTGTAATTTTGCAACTAACTTTACTGTACTAAAACTGATCAATGACTCAGCTGATCATCTTTTGAATAACTGGGCTCTGTTTAATAATACTAATCAAGGTGTTCGATCTTGAACACTGAGAATGTATTCTCTGTCGTATATTTCACATTAACAGTGTACTATAAATCTGTATGCTGTTTTCTAACATAGAAGTTGCAATCTCTAAATATATGCAATATTTTCCCATGTACATTCAATTTGAGAGTTAGTGAATTTAATATCTCCATGCCATGTGTTTTAAACATTAATAAAGTGTTTTCTGTATACCTGTAAAGGTTAACTCTATGCAGTTTTCACAATGGCATCCCTTCCACTGTTTTGGACTAGTCAGATGGATTTGAAGGGTACTTTTTCTAGAATGGATTTTTTTTTTTAACCCCTGTTGCAGAACTTCACTTTGGCCTCACTATTAGAAGAAGCAATCTTGATTTAGACCGTGTTAGGTTCTGCATTTCAATATCACTCATTTTGTTTGGGATAATTCGGTAAATATGAAAAACATCACTAACGGCCAGCTCGGGACTCAAATCTGGGACTCATAGACAGACGCTCAAACCAATGGCCAGATCAGAACTCGTGAGACAGGGACTCACAAACTATCTAGAGAGATGCTCTATAATCACTTGCAAGACTAGAACACGAATCTGACACTCACCAACTCCAGAGAGAGACCCTTACCAATTGATCATGAGCTTCCCGATATCCAGTGATTGACCCAGTCTAATTTCCCTAACATAGCCTTCTTCTTCATCAAAGTCTTTGAAGACATATGAGACCTATATATCACATTCTGTAGGTTTTTATTTTTATTTGGCTCCAAATGTGACAGGAAAAAAAATTCAACTACCTGTTCACATAGGTGTCCCACATTTCCGATAAGGGACAAAGTGCATGAAACGCAATTAAAACTGCTTTGCTCAATTTATCTTTCCCTTTTTACGTATCAAAATAGCTCCAAAAAGCATTCATTTCATTCAGACACACCTGTTGTGATCATTACACACACCCTGCAGTACCTAGGAGATCATTTGACCACAGGATATAGGTTTTTAGCTTATGTGAGTTTGGATTTGAATGAGGGAGTTTCAAGGGAGATTGGTAAATTTTGGTTAAAATGAGGGAGAGTTAATTGACAGCTAATTAACCTATGCTCTTCACTCATTTTTCAGTCTATATAAGTACCTATCCAGACACAACAATAATAAGTTGTTTCTTTGATGTACTCATGTCTTATTTGAAATAATTTGGAACTCGGAATTGGATTTCAATTATTCAAATACTGTATCATTGAAATGCAAGTTTTAAAACATGAAAATCAATATACATTCATATTAAAATGTTTATTTGAAATCAAGTCGACCAGCAAAATTATACTACATTGTTTGGAGATCCAAAAATTCTGTATATGTTTTCATTCAATAGTATACTTGTATGTCACTGCATGCAAGCTCTTTGTATGTATTCCATGTTGTCACAGCTTATTACCGATCCTCTTCTGATGGTACTGAGTGTGTAGATAACTCTATATATTAGGTTACAACATAGTACTTCATTGGGACCTGATTATGACTAACCTTTATAAAGAAGGGTGGGGATTTCAGGATACTGGCTCTAGCACTGAAGCCACCTGATATAGCCTTCCTATCAAAGCATAGCACATGACAGGAATAGTTTTAAAAAGATTGCATTATGTTGACATTATCCCCAACTGTTAAGTATGAACTCAATTCATGGACACATGCAGAAACTTGTCACAACTGGCTTATGTGAAACTTATGTGTTGCCTTTTCCTAGAAGTACCAGCATGTCAACTGTGATGAAATAATGTGGGGGATATGCTCCAGACAATGCCAGGGAAGGACGGTCAGACGGACAGATGGAGGGCATTTCCATACTGCGTTGCAGTGAGGGATAGCATCACTGAAAGTAACATGTCATTCACTTACTTGTCTTCTCCAAGGACGACACCAAACATGACATGTTCCACTCGTGCTTGTTTCGGGTCGTACCAGCCTGCTATCACTCCCGCATCAAAGATGGACTGCAGGTGGAGATTCTACAACGCAACAACCAAAATACACTACAACGCAACAACCAAAATACACTAACTTGTACAGGTAACATACAGTACACTGTCTACATTGTACTGATGGGTCTATACAACACACTACAACGCAACAACCAAAATACACTACAACGCAACAACCAAAATACACTAACTTGTACAGGTAACATACAACATACACTATCTACAATGTATCGATGAGTCTAAACAACATCCCACATACAATGTCTACTTTGTACAGGTAACATACAGTACACTGTCTACATTGTACTGATGGGTCTATACAACATACACAGTCTACATGGTACTGGTGGGTCTATACAACACTCACTGTCTACATTGTACTGATGGGTCTAGACAACATACACTATCTACATTGTACTGATGGGTCTATACCACATACACTGTCTACATTGTACTAATGGGTCTATACAACATATACTGTCTATATTGTACTGATGGGTCTATACAACATACACTATCTACATTGCACTGATGGGTCTATACAACATACACTGGCTACATTGTACTGATGGGTCTATATCACAACCAACATACCTTTACCTGTAACAACTACAGATGATTACATCCCTGTCCAGCATCAACAACGTAGAGCAGCCAGTCTCCCTTCTCATGTATCGATGAGTCTAAACAACATCCCACATTCAATGTCTACTTTGTACAGGTAACATACAGTACACTGACTACATTGTACTGATGGGTCTATACAACATCTACTGTCTACATTGTACTGATGGGTCTGTACAACATACACTGTCTACATTGTACTAATGGGTCTATACAACATATACTGTCTATATTGTACTGATGGGTCTATACAACATAAACTGTCTACATTGTACTGATGGGTCTATGCAACATATACTGTCTACATTGTACTGATGGGGCTATACAACATACACTGTCTACATTGTAATGATGGGTCTATACAACATACACTGTCTACATTGTCCTGGTGGGTCTATACAACATACACTGTCTACATTATACTGATGGGTCTATACAACATATACTGTCTACATTGTACTGATGGTTCTATACAACATACACTGTCTACATTGTCCTGGTGGGTCTATACAACATACACTGTCTAGATTGTACTGATGGGTCTATACAAAATACACTGTCTACATTGTACTGATGGGGCTATACAACATACACTGTCTACATTGTCCTGGTGGGTCTATACAACATACACTGTCTACAATGTACTAATGGGTCTATACAACATACACTGTCTACATGGTACCAATGGGTCTATACAACATACACTGTCTACATTATACTGATGGGTCTATACAACATATACTGTATACATTGTACTGATGGGTCTATACAACATACACAGTCTACATGGTACTGGTGGGTCTATACAACACTCACTGTCTACATTGTACTGATGGGTCTCTACAACATATACTGTCTACATTGTACTGATGGTTCTATACAACATACACTGTCTACATTGTCCTGGTGGGTCTATACAACATACACTGTCTACATTGTAATGATGGGTCTATACAACATACACTGTCTACAATGTACTAATGGGTCTATACAACATACACTCTCTACATTGTACTGGTGGGTCTATACAACACATACTGTCTACATTGTACTGATGGGTCTAGACAACATACACTATCTACATTGTACTGATGGGTCTATACCACATACACTGTCTACATTGTACTAATGGGTCTATACAACATATACTGTCTACATTGTACTGGTGGGTCTATACAACCTATACTGTCTACAATGTACTGATGGGTCTATACAACATACACTGTCTACATTGTACTGATGGGTCTATATCACACCCAACATACCTTTACCTGTAACAACTACAGATGATTACATACCTGTCCAGCATCAACAACGTAGAGCAGCCAGTCTCCCTTCTCCACATGGAGCCGGTGTTTGATGGCAGTAAGGTCAGATGTGGCATAGGTGAATCCCCCATCAGACTTGACGACTGTCAGAGGAGCCGGGGCCCCTGGTATATACATTATTTTCCGACCTTCTTCTAGGACCAGGTGCTCTGGAAGTGGAATTTAAGATATCAACAAAAATAATTCCAGCACATCAGAAGATTTACAGATTCTGTAGACAACTTTCAATTATTCATTAAACTTTTTGAAACAATGCCAAGGATGATAACACTGAATGGGCCGGGCCGTCTGTTTACAATAATATATGAACAATGTAACCAACAAAAAAACTATTTTATGACTACAGTGTATTTTGGTCTTGTACATAGAGTGCGCATAAGTCTGCAAAAAAAAAGGATAAAAGCTATGACAATTACATGACATTGTACATTTGTCTGATTTTTTTCCCTATTATTATTTAATGAGAAATGGAGATCATCAATACATACCAGTTAGTAAAAAAATGTTCTCCATAACATTTATATAGAAAGATTTGAACTGGTTTGATTGTTTGAATAGAAACTGTTTGGAAAACTATAAAGAAAACCTTTTATTCTGTGTTTTGAAAATCAAGCAGCCAGCAAAAACTACCAGGCTTTTATTAAGCCTCAATTTATGCGTTAAACTTCATCGAAAAGGTCCTACATTTTGTTAAAAAAAATACTCCAATCTACTGTAAATAGATTTCTAATATTACCCTTTTCTTCTAACTCCTTCACTATGGCCCCCATCAGTGGTTGATAGAATGACTCGCCTCGCTCTGTTATAGAGACACCAAGGCGCTTATACACTTTCTGAAATTCTGAAACAAACAACACACAAAAAACTATATACATAACCTTAAATTGTTGCTATTATAAATGAGCACAATGTTAAAAGCATGTCAAGCTCTAAATTAGAATATCATTAAAAGTTATACGTCTGCAGTATTTCTCACCTGTATTTTGCTGTAGGTCGCTATTTATTTGTCTGGTCACATTTGGAAATGAATGCAATTTATATATTCAAATCTAAAACTTCATAATTGGATTACCTGTAAAATCTTTGACATCTTGCTACAACCCTGATACACCAGGGCTACATTAGCGTATCCCGGTTGAAACAGTACGTGTGGCGCAGAAATTTTCCACGATAAACGAACGCATGTACACTTGGACCGTTGTACGTTCTATAAGCAGAGCTAAAAATCCACAGTTTTCGGAGAATAAAAAACAATGTATCAAGAATATTATGCCCTTCTCTCACACGTCCACTAAATTACATAAAGTATCTTAAAAATTATATGTGACTTGACATTGTTTTAGAAAGAAATAACGCAAATTGGCAATAGTCAGCATTTTAGTTTCGGTCAGGTACGTCTGGACCCCTCAATCTACACGTACCAAATTTTCCTAAGGTCAGCCACGGTCCAAATCTGTACCTGTTGTTTTCTTTACAGGTTAAACCGGTTCAACCGTTTCAACCAGATACGCGAATGTAGCCCTATATATTAACTTCTTAGTCAAATGAATAGGGAAGCCTAAAGATGACCCAGACCTCAGTTCTTTATAGAACTTTTTTGTGATACCTTCCCTCTGTAAACACAAAAAACAAATTCTAGTCTAACAGGTGGTTATTGGTGTTTCTCCAAAACAGACAAACAACTACGTTTATTGGCTGATCATTAAAGAGTAGTGGACATCACCATTTCCAATAACAAAGAACCAAAAGTGTAGCACTTGTACAACAAGGGGTAATAACTCTGGTGAGGGACACTGACCCTGCCTGGAGACATCACAGATGAGATTCCACCCTTTCAGGTGAGCCTCGTCACCGTTCTGGAGCTTTACCACTGCCTCATAAGCTCGCTTCTTAAACGCTTCATCTTCGTCAAAACGGACCTTGGACTCCTGCATGGGAATGAATAGCATTAGACAAAAGTTGGAGAAGAAATCTTTTATTACTACTACTGAAAACTAAAAGTGTGTAATGGCATAACATACAGGAACCAGACAGCTCCATTTACATCAGTGTTACCTTAATATAGAGATTGCAATCTGGCAAATTTTGATTTTACAATCTTTAAACGGTAAGATAAAAAATAAAAAATAATAAAAAATAATAAATAAAAATCACTTTAAAATGTTGCAACAGTTATGGTTCAATTTTTTCTAAATTTGTTTTTTTCAGTGTTTATCTCATTCATGTTTTTGATGGTTTATTGTGCTTAAATTTACAATATTAGATGTTCCATACTTTTGATATGTAGTCCATTGTGTACGAAAATATTTTCTTACAATGAATCTTAAATTAATTTTTAAAATGTACATAAATACTACCTTGCAGAATGTACACTAGTTTTACCCTGTAGAATATACACTAGTTTTACCTAGTAGAATATACACTAGTTTTACCTTGTAGAATGTACACTAGTTTTACCTTGTAGAATGTACACTAGTTTTACCTTGTAGAATGTACACTATTTTTTCCTTGTAGAATATACACTAGTTTTACCTAGTAGAATGTACACTAGTTTAACCTTGTAGAATGTACACTAGTTTTACCTTGTAGAATGTACACTAGTTTTACTTTGTAGAATATACACTAGCTTTACCTAGTAGAATATACACTAGTTTTCCCTGTAGAATGTACACTAGTTTTGCCTTGTAGAATATTCTCTATCTGTACCTTGTATAATGTATACTAGTTTTACCTTGTAGAATGTAATCTAGTTTCACCTAGTAGAATGTACACTAGGTTAACCTTGTAGAATGTACACTTGTTTTACCTTGTAGAATGTACACTTGTTTTACCTTGTAGAATGTAAACTATTTTTTCCTTGCAGAATATACACTAGTTTTACCTTGTCGAATGTACACTAGTTTTACTTTGTAGAATATACACTAGCAGTACCTTGTATAATGTACACTAGTTTTACCTTGTAGAATATACACTAGCTGTACTTTGTATAATGTTCACTAGTTTAACCTTGTAGAATATACACTATCTGTACCTTGTATAATGTACACTAGTTTACCTTGTAGAATGTAATCTAGTTTTACCTAGTAGAATGTATACCACTTTTACCATGTAGAATGTACACTAGTTTTACGTATAATGTACACTAGTTTTACCTAGTAGAATGTACACTAGTTTTACTTTGTAGAATGTACACTAGTTTTACTTTGTAGAATGTACACTAGTTTTACCTAGTAGAATGTACACTAGTTTTACCTAGAAGAATATACACTAGTTTTACCTTGTAGAATGTACACTAGTTTTACCTTGTAGAATATACAATAGCTGTACTCTGTATAATGTACACTAGTTTTACCTTGTAGAATGTACAATAGTTTTACTTTGTAGAATGTACATTAGTTTTACCTAGTAGAATGTACACTAGTTTTACCTTGTAGAATGTACACTAGTTTTACATTGTAGAATGTACACTAGTTTTACCTTGTAGGTTTTATGCTGACTAATTATTGTATAATGTACACTAGTTTTAGCTTGTAGAATATACACTAGCTGTACCTTGTATAATGTACACTAGTTTTACCTAGTAGGATGTACTGTAGTTTTAGCTCGTAGAATGTATACTAGTTTTACCTTCTAGAATATACATTAGTTTTACCTAGTAGGATGTACTCTAGTTTTACCTTGTAGAATGTACACTAGTTTTACCTTGTAGAATATATACTAGTTTTACCTAGTGGAATGTACACTAGTTTACCTTGAAGAACGTACACTAGTTTTACCTAGTAGAATGTACACTAGTTTTACCTTGTAGTTTGTATACTAGTTTTACCTAGTAGAATGTATACTAGTTTTACCTTGTAGAATGTACACTAGTTTTAAATAGTAGAATGAACACTAGTTTTACCTTGTAGAATGTACACTTGTTTTACCTAGTAGGATGTACTCTAGTTTTACATTGTAGAATGTACACTAGTTTTACCTTGTAGAATATACACTAGTTTTACCTAGTATGATGTACTCTAGTTTTACCTTGTAGAATGTACACTAGTTCTACCTTGTAGAATATACACTAGCTGTACCTTGTATAATTTACATTAGTTTTATCTTGTAGAATATACACTAGCTGTACCTTGTATAATGTACACTAGTTTTATCTTGTAGAATATACACTAGCTGTACCTTGTATAATGTACACTAGTTTTACCTTGTAGAATGCTTGTAAATCTTTAATTGGGGGAGACACAGAGAGGTAGTTAGGAAACTTATCCTTGAGGTGGGCTATCAGCATACCAAACTGTGTGCCCCAATCTCCGAGGTGATTCAGACGTAATACGTCATGCCCCACCCACTCCAGTAGACGACAGAGACTCTCACCGATAATGGTGGACCTGAAGACAGAAATACGAAAATCTACCTCAATACAAATGTACAAATTTTAAAACAAGCAGGAAATATACTTTTACAGATCTAAATTATTTTCATGGCAGAGAAGAATAAAACCGGTAGCTACAAGTTTGAAGAATACATCAGGTGTCCTTTAGCGTCACTGCAAGTATACATTTTGTATGTTTTAGTTTATCAGTACCTCAGATGTCCCACATGCATCTCCTTGGCAATATTTGGAGAGGAGAAGTCTACGACGACACGTTTTTTTATACCAACGTTCGGAGGGCTTGGTCCTTTCTGGAGTACGCTACTGATCTGACCAGACACATAGTCCTTGCTGAGGTCAATATTGATGAAACCATTTGGGGCAGCCTCTACCTATTGAAACAAATAACAAGGATAAGTTAATGTCACAACATAGGGTTGACAAGTAAATACGTGAACAATCCGGTCACTGGTAAGTATGTGAAGCCAAAATACTGCTAGAATTAAAAAAAAAAAGGTTTTATGCTGACTAATTATTGGCTTAGATTATCCTGTGTTGAAGACATGTGGAAGAGCAGACCGTTTGTGATACATTTATGTACATCAAATAAAATAATCTAACTTTCAATTACATTTTTATGAGAAGAAGGTTTGATTTTCACAAAATGATCTACTTATAAAAACAACATGTTTTTTAAATAGTATGGCTCAAATTTGCATATTGTAATGGAGATAAAGGATTTCAATCCAAGCTGTACATGTATAACTTGTATATTACAATCATTTATAGCAAACACCTGTGGGCACTTTTTGAAGAACAGCACTAAGTCCATCCAAACGGAATGACGAAGGAAAGACACAAGGAAATTTGTCACCAATAAACAGCTAAAAGTCTGTCAGATATTTCAGTAAGCATACCAATATCATCTAAAATGATATGTTCCATGTATATTACCTTGGAAAAGTACTCCGACTCAGGCAGACTGGCTACAATTTTTTGTGCAATTTCCTTTGGGGGCAGCTTTACACCCTGTGCTTTTAGTTTCTGAAAGAAAAGTTGTAAAATAATGATTAACATGTTTGTCACATGTATATTACTCTTTTAATTCAGAACAGCAAAGTTACTCAATCTATAGAAAATATCAACTGTCTACTTTGTCTGATTGGATCTGTTACTACAGTACAATTGGTCATCCATCTGAAAATAATCTCTTGATTACCCTGGTGCGTTGGATATTGTGCATCTCCCAAACAAAGCCCCGCCCATTATATTGGTACTTTGAAATGCCGAGAACAACGGACACTAATTCAAGTCAATCTGAAACACTGTTTGACTAGAGTAGCCAAATGTGCAGGAAAACATAGCTAGAAAGATGATGGACTAGAACTCCCAGAGGTATGACATGATACCGACAGTTATTTGCCAATATTGCATTTGAAGATGAAAAATGTTCCAATCAAATTAATACAAACAACCACAAAAAGATTTCAAAAACAGAATTAACAAATGTACACTTGATTAAATTTTGCCGAGACTCCCCATTTGATGTTGTCTGGTCATCGCATCTTTTGAATTTCAATTTCTCCTATGGCCAGACTATTAAATTTCATTTAGGAATCCATCAATTGGGTTTCACAGAACTTCACCAAATATCAACTAGCAGATGTTTAATCTCAACTAGTGGATGTTTAATCTCAACAAGCGGATATTTAATCTCAACTAGCAGATGTTAAATCTCAACCAGCGGATGTTTAATCTCAACTAGCGGATGTTTAATCTCAACCAGCGGATGTTTAATCTCAACTAGCGGATGTTTAATCTCATTTTCCCTTCTACATGTCCATCTTTGTTTACACATCCTCATTAAGGATGATGAAAATGCAACAGTTAAACTGAGGGGAACATTTTCAGGGATACAGTAAGTACAATACTTGTACTGAGTAAGATATATTAATTGGTATATTGTAAGCTAAGACGTTCTCACTGTTATTTAGACAAAATTACCTGATGAATATGATTGAATAACAAAACTTGATACAACAGCAATGTGGTAACATCAAAGCTTCCAATGTACACACCTAGCAAGATTTTGATGGAGATATATTTTGGAAGGTGCACCCAAGCAAATTCAGCCCCGAGTACTATATAGTGGGAGGTAAATAATGGCCAGGAGCTTGTACCAGTACATGGACAAGTATATGCATCAAAAGTAGTCTCTGACTAAAATATACACGTCGATATTAACAGTGAGTATATATATTTTACTTTTCTGTGACATTTTCATTTTACATGTATATCACAAGGACTATATATACATTTCTATAAACGTGATTACATTAATATCTATTACTGATTTCTTCTTATAAACATGATTAAAAGAAATTATTATTTCTCCCTAATTAATGTTACAGTGTAATGATACTAGGATTACTATTGGAGAACATAAACCTTCTTACCGCACATATAACCAAGGCACTGTTACACTGGTAGTCAGCAAACTTTGAGCTGCCCTGTATCATAACAGGGATGTCATCAAGGTCAGGGTAGGCATGACGGACAGCCAGGCCAAATAGCTCCTCCACAATGATCCCAATACTCAGCATGTTCTCTGGCTTTCTCTTCTTTTCCGTAGCAACACTCTAGACATCAAACAATAATAATAGCAATACATGTGGCATCACACAAATAAAACAACTCTTTAAATTTCAATGAAAGTCTATATTTAATATTGAATACGTAAGAAATGGCAATAACATTGATGACTAACAACTGTGTATGATTATATCAAATCTATAGTCATGCCTGAAAAAACAGTTTCCAATGCGTAGTTAAAGGTAATGGTAAGGGATTCCGAAGTCTTTTTTCTGGAATAATTATCTTTTTCACTTTATTTTTCTAAATGGTCATTAAAAATACATTTTCATGAAATTTTTACCCGTTTCAAATGGTTTATTTGGTATTGTAGCTTTGCGTTCTCAGTCCTCAGTTTTTCCAGCTCTGGGGATATGATTCCATCAGCTAACATACGCTGAGGATCTTGTAGGCGCTTGATCTCCTCCTCTAGATGCCTTATTTCTGCTTCCTGTTTTAAAATAGGTAAATACATTTGATATAATTAATGAAGACTGAAATGAATTAAATGTGAAACCATGAGAAGAACTAGAAACTGACCATTGTCAATAAGTCACCAGGTTTCAATTTTCTCTGCTTTAATGAATTTTAAATTAATAAACAAAATGAAAATAATAAAATTATATAAATTTCACTTGAACACTGATGTATAATTGCATATTGTGATAAGTCCATGTGTTACATGACAGTTAGAAAATTTAGTTTTACTTCAGCACAAGACCTGAAAAAAGTAAATACAAACAAGCAATATTGTATAATAACATTAAGTTTTTCTTCTTCTTCTTCTTGATAGTTCCACCAGACCTTCTTGGCATAGAAGATTACCTGGAGTGCATGGGGGATGCAAAATTAGTTCAAAGAATTTCATTTTTTTTTTGTTATTTTGGATTTAACATAAAACTATATACATAAGTAGTATTTAGTGTAGGAGAGGTGCGAGGACAGCTGGAGTCAGCTGATCTCTGAAGGTGTCTACAGTAGCACAGTCTACAATGGCTGCAGGGAGGGCATTCCATTGGACTATGGTGCGCAGAAAGAAGGACCATTTAAGGGTGTCGTTTGTTGCTGATATATGTCTGAAGTTTTAATCATTTGATTTTCTGGTTCTACTGTCAATAGGAAAGAGGATATCAGGTGTAGGAACAGCAATGAGACAGTGGACAATTTTATAGAATACTACAAGTCATATTTTTAGACAACGTTCAGCTAGGAGTTGCCAATGGAGATTTTCTACCATTCCTGACACACTGCTTGTATTATGGAAGTTATTGCATATGTATCTAGCTGCACGCCGTTGAACCATTTCAGTTTGGTTTGTTTGGTCGCACAAGTGACTGGTAAGCTTTGACCTTGATATTGGTGTTTAAAATCTTAAGATTTCTCTTAAGAAAACCAAGGGCCTTGTTACCATTAGATGTTACATTGTCACAGTGGGTGTTCCAGTTGAGGTTCGACTGTAGTGTCACCCCCAGGTACTTGGCAGCTGGGACAGATTCCAATACATGGTCATGAAGGATATCTTTATATTTAATAGGCTTTCTCTTGTGAGTGACTGATAGTGAGGTACATTTACCGGGGTGGAAAGCCATTAGCCATTCTGCTTCCCACCTGGCAGCAGCTTCAATGTCTAATTGAAGTTTATCGCAGTCTGCAGTAGATGAGACTTCGCGATAGATAATGCTTTTGTCAGCAAATAGCCGGAGTTTACTGTAGTGAAGATATTCGTGAAGGTCGTTTATATATAAACATGGAATAGGACCGTGCCCTGTGGGACCCCTGATGTAACTGGGACTCTATCGGAAGAGACACCATGTCTATCACTACTGACTGGGAACGGTTACTTAGGAATGCGGAAATCCAATTAAGGGTGTTTGACTGGATGCCATAATATTTTAGTTTGTACAGAAGGTGTCGATGTGGCACTTTATCGAACGCCTTCGCAAAGTCCATTATAATAAGGTCAGTTTGTTTGTTCTTGTTGTTGTTATCTGCCAGTTCATGGACAAAGTGTACTGGTTGGGATTCACATGATTGTGATTTGCGGAATCGAAGCTGTAGATCGTAGAGGATGTTATTTGATTCAAGGTGTTGCATTATATTACTAGTAATTATATGTTCCATGATCTTACAGCATATGCAGGTGAGGGATATGGGTCGATAATTTCCCAGATTGTACTTTTTCACTTTATTGTATGCTGGTGCCACATTAGCCAAGTTCCAATCAAGTGGTGTTTCTCCGGTGTTAAAAGGTTTGGTGAATATGATCGAAAGGATTGGAGCAATATTTTCTCTTAGATCTTTCAGTATACGGCCACTGATATTATCTGGCCCACTGGCCTTGTGGGGGTTAAGATTGTGTAGGAGCTCAAATATTACCGGTAGTACTGATGTTGATATTTGGCATGATGGGATGAGGGCTTTTGAAGATGCAAATTTTTGTATCAAAAACTGGTCTTACAAAACTGCCTAAGTTCCTTTTATATTCTTTTTTATTTAATAGTCGGTGACCAGGTATAGCTCAATTGGTAGAGCCTCTGTCTAGAGTTTGAAGGGTCCCTGGTTCGAGTCCCTGTCTGGCCGTTGTATTTCTCTTTCACTTGTTACATTTTGGTTCTTTTATGACGAATCATGCAAGTGGAGTAAAATGATGTCCACTTTGATAGAAATTGTCTTAATTCTTCATACACAATCATATATTTTGAGAGAACAAATTAAATGTAACAGACTCTCCATGAATTGTATATAAATATGTAATGCATACATATATGTACAGCCTGGTTGACAGGACTAACAAAACCGTGAAAACGCAGGAACAGCGGGCCTTAATTATCATTCAACTAAAGATTAGTCTATTTATTACTGAAATAAGATGGTAAAAATATGAAGTGAAAGAACTTAATTGGTACGAATGTACATACCGATTGTTCTGCACGGGCTGTGAGTAGAGCAACTTCAGACATGGTGATGCAATACACTTCCAACAGCCTACTCAACACTAAAGTTCTAGATCTACTTTCGGTTGAAACCACGTTGTTCACTTCACTTCCGGTTTATCGTTTTAAAGGCAAATATACCCGATAAACATTTATTTTATACAATTTATATTTCTTATACAAAGAGAAAAAAAACAGAAAAAAACGACGTATTGCTTATAAAATACACAAATTCATTAAAATAGAACTATTAGAAAAAATATTTTTGTTGATTGATACAGCAGTATAAGAAAATAAATTATCGACTACCTATACAGTGACAAGACATTACATCCGGTGTTTGCAAGTTTTTATTTTGTTTTAGCTTATCTTAAGCCTTTCATCGCATCTATGAGTTACGTTCGGGCTCGTGCAAACCTTTGTAGTGTTTTCATGGCTTATAATTGAAAATTTATATAGAGTTGTTTTCTATGTAAACTGATCAAGTTCGCAAGCCGATACATGCGTATTTAACACTAATTTTCCTGCTACGTTCTGAAAACGTTTCGGCCATTAGCAATATTTGCTTGATGTCATTGAACGACTACATGTTTGAGCGTAGTGTGGCACCCTTCGTCATAAATAGATATATATGTAAGTAGCAATGAGATTTAATATGAAGAGCTTAAATATGATAATTAACAAATGATAATGTATAATAGATTACTAATGCAAGTTGTACATTATTATACAGTTATACTTTTTAACTTGCACTTTATTTTGATATAGGAGATAATTCTTTGTAATTGAAAACGATGTCAATTTCATTTATCAGGTAGAGAAATAATATATAATTATATTGCTAATTATTTATAGAAAAATATGTATTTTATATTTGAAAGACAACACATTGGTACATAACTACCATTCACAATATCTATGCCACTGTTTATATTTATTTGTTAAAGCATCTGATATTATGCTTTTATCAGATGCTAGAATAAATGAATGCGATATTATTAAATGCAAATGATGAAATATTTCTCATTGCAGGATGATCGACAACTCTTTTGAAAGGTATGAGGATATACCGTCAAAATTCAATATATGATACCAAAGAAGTAGATAAAGGAAGTGGAAACAAGAGGATCCACATCATACTTATCATGGAGTCATTTAGCATTCAAGAATGTTTTTATGGCTGATAATGTAAAATTTTAAATAATCATTTGAATTCAATTGTGGGCTTCAGCCACTGACAGCCTTTCTACAAAATGGCTGGCATCACGCAAGTGTGTAATGATACATCAGAGAAAATAGAGCTGTTTCCTCCTCAGGGTTTGTACCTAAAGCCACTTGCTAAAATAAATGTGTGTGTTCAACTGCCTCAGCTGAAACAGCCAGGCAAATCCATCTCCAACTGGGAGGTTATGGAGCGTGTCAAACACATGGCAAGGCCGCACTCTTTTTTGACATTGAAAATAATCAAAAGTACACTAGAGTTTATCCGACTGGAAGGTGAAACAGAAACTAAAGCTTTAATTAAAACTCTAATACAGAGACTTGATGCAAAGACTATCAAATTGAGTGGTTTTCCTGATATTTTGAAGGTCAAGGCAGCCGAGGCTAAGGTCAGTTTTCCATTACGTCATGACTGGGACTCATACTTTAGAGATGCAAAAAACATGAATGAGATGAAATCTGGTGAGAGGCCAGACACTATTCACTTCAGAGATCTGCCTACTCGATGGTTTGCTTCTGCTAGAAGTAGAGAAAGCGACAAGCCAAATGAACAATATTTAAAGCGTACCTGGGAAGGATATGGTGAGGTTCGATGTGTCGACATCCCAATGCTTGACCCATATAGGAAGGAAATGACCACCTCCACAAAATCTGGTGCCATTCAGACATTTACATATGGACAAGATTTGACATTCGAGGCATTTGTACAGTTCAAGGAATACATTGGTTTTGTGAAAGCTATGGACAGTCTCCGTGGGATGAAGTTATTATATATTGGGGAAGATGAAAAGGCCTATACAGCCAATATCAAGGTAGAGTAATGTGTCATGTCTATCTTTACTGATATTTACTGCAACAGATCAGATATAAACAGGACTTCCACATGTTTTTGACATGGTTTTGTTTGATGACATTTGTTTTGACTTTCCTTTTATCAGGAAAGTGGTGATTTGACTTCTGCTAGGATCAAATAACACGTTTACTGGTACGATATACGCATGTACAATGTAGTGATGCTAGCATTCTCTTGTCTCTGTATGTACAATTAAAAATGATCACAGGTTTTAAAAATTTGTCTTGAAAGGCCAAAAAAACTCAACATAAGACAAGAACAAGCTTATATAGTTTGTTAAATGCTAATCTTACAGCTTCCAATGAAAAATTACCTACGATTTTTCCGTCTGATGTATTGCTAAGCAATATATTTTCAAAAAATAACTGATGTTTCAGGTTGACTTTGACAAAACAAAGCATCTGTCTGACAAATCCATAAAGAAGCGACGCATAGAAAGATGGAAACTGGAACAGCTGGAAAAGGAAAGGGAAGATAAAGTACGAAATGAACGAGAGGAAGAAGAGAGGAAACAGGAGGAAGAAAGGTAATATAAAGCATTTGTCATACTGGTACCAATTTACCTATTTACTAAGGTAGGGATTCAAACTTGAAAGCAAAACTTTCAGTCTTTGGCTCATCATATTTGGTTTGTACTTGGATAACCTCTTCTTAAATTCTCCTCTGTAATGTTATGTTGGTCTTTGAGAAATTTCTCATTTCTTGGTAATAGATCTAGGACAGCAAACAATTCTTTCAAAACCTCTGCCCAAGTATGGCAGATTGGAGGCAATGTAAATAGATATAACCAGAAGGTATGGCCCTCCTGGGGCATATAGTGATGGGGTCCAGTATTTAAAATAGAGATCCATCTTTTTGATTCTTCTATTTCCATATGCATTTGAATGGAAACATTTTAACCACATTTGGTCTAAAGCTTTCTTGAGGAAATAGTTTGGGATCCCTTCCCCTCCTTCCTGAGAACAAAGGGTTAGGGCCCAATAGAGAGTGCAGTGCAGTTTTTGGGACCAAAAGTCAAAAATGGTATATTGGACTTGGTTAAAGTTTTTGGGCAAGCTTGAGATTAAAGTTTTTGGGCATTTTTTTTGTGAAGTGTTGGACCACCACCATCAATATGCTGTTGTCTATTATAAGGTTGAAGTATAAATATGGAGTGAAAGCGATTTGATGAACCATATTTCATATTTTAGGGGCCAAAACTAGTTAATTGTGCTTGGCTGAAGTTTTGGGGCAACTTTTTATGTGCAGTGTTGGATCGGCCACCACCATCAATGTTTGAGATGTACAACATTTTAATGTACAGCAAAATTTTGTTGTATTGCCAACATTTGTTTTAAAGAAATATTGGTATTATAACGAGGTTTTAATAAATTGGGGGAATTCTGAAGAAAAATATAATTCAGGGACCTTAAAATATGTTGGCAGTAAGCAAGATTACAAATGAAATGACAAGCATTATATCAAGGTTTTACTGTACATGGTTTTACTGTACAAGGTTTTACTGTACATGGTTTTACTGAACATGGTTTTACTGTACATGGTTTTACTGTAATGGTTTTACTGTACAAGGTTTTACTGTACAAGGTTTTACTGTAATGGTTTTACTGTACATGGTTTTACTGTACATGTGTTAACTGTACATGGTTTTACTGTACATGTGTTTCTATTGATATTTGCTATTTTACAACATATATCACCAACAGGTGAGCTATGCTGTTCTCCAACAGCTCTTGTTTAGAGAGACGACGAATAAGGGAAATCTGACAGGGAAAATGTTTTATTTTCCTGTCATGTGATCAACATAATCCAATCAGAGATGCTGTTTTATAGATGGGTTATAATGATTTTAAGTTTAGTGGCAACCATTCATGTTACTGGAGAGTACTAATAGCTGCTGTAACACTAAGCAGTTTGAAGAATACTAACAGTTGTTACATTAGGCATATTTCAGCTGTTTTTCCATAGATACATCTGCCTTAGAAGTAGATTAATTACTGATAATATTTTACTCTTTATGGTGACTTTGTCTTACTTGTTTAATTTTATGACAGGAGAAAAAAAAGGGAAGAAGAGGAGGATAAGGAAAGGAAACGTATTGAAAAAGTACAAAAAAAGGAAGACAGAAGGAAAAGTAGAGAAGAAAAACGTAAACACAAAGCCTTACAGAAAAGGAAAAAAGAGGAAGAAAAGAAATTACAACAAAAGATTGCTTTAGAGGAGAGAAAGTTCCTTATAGCTCAAAGAAAACTTGAGTCGATACGACTTATGTCTGAGCTGTTTAATGCTGTCAAGGTAAGAAACCTTACCTAGTGGTACAGTCATACCACGGTAAGTACATTTGTATTAATATGACCCCTTCTGGAGCCCCTAGAACTCTAACTCAGATCAGTAACGATGGTAATCTCTCCAGGACTTCTCTTTTACAACTCCATTGATTATATATTTCAAACTTCTGCAATATAACGATATATATAACGGTACATATTGGTGATCTCTACAAATAGTATAGTCAAAATTATTTTAGATATACACATGTATCTGTAAATATTTAATGTTGATTGTTATCCAGTGACTGATTTAAAAGTGGTTAATCCATGATCGACTGAAAACAACAGAACAAAAGTAATGATAAAACTTTTTCTGAGCAAAAATAGAAAGTATTACGGTACCAGCCCACACATCTAAACAACCATACATGTTCCAACACAGCTAAATATAGACATCACACCTGCCCATACAGCTAAATACCAGTGTATCTTAACATCTCACACAGACTATCATACCTGTCCCATACCTCTTGAGGCCAAAACAAAAAGTATGTGTGTGGTACATGTATGGTTACATGCCAGAAAAATAATAGGATAAATCAGTAGGCAAATATAAAACTCTCTTTCAATTTTTATTTTCATTCTCATGCAATCATGGATCAATTTTATGTTTCATATCAAATTTTACAATGCATTTGATTTTTCCATATAATCAAGCTGTCAAGAATGGGGTTAGACTCCCGGAACTGGTAGGGTACATTCAATGAGTTACTGAGCTCTCCCAGCCTAATAAATCAATCTTTGGTATAGAGTACAAGTAGGTGATAGGGTAGGCAGGAAATCTAGGGTAGGTCGGGATACCAGAAACACACATATATTTGTTAAGGCCTAACCCCAGACAAGAATATCTAGAAGTGTTTTGAGAGCTTTCATGTGGTGACCCTGTAAATTTTATAGAGCCAGTAAATGTTTTGTTGAAGGTATTTTATGATGTTACAACAACTGTTCATGAGATCATTGACAGGAACGTCGTCTGCCAGTTATAGTTTTGGTTTTTCGTTGATAAATAAGGTAATCTGTATTAGGAAATAAACATTCCTTTTCAAATCTACTTGATGCAATCAATTTATTATATAATCAGTTATTAATCCATTATGGTTGAATAGAGATATTAGTTAGTAAGATATGTAGGGGAATTAGACTTCAACCTAGCCACCTACACATCTTATTAATCCTCTATGTTTCTCAGTCTGTAGCCAGTTCTCATATAAATATAGACTTATTGATTTAACCTCATTAACTACATAATTCTTTGTTTTTCAGAAAATCAAGGTGAAAGAAGATCTCGAGAAGCATGAGAGAGAAGCAGAAGAAATGAGAAAGAAAGAATTAGAAATGGAACAGATACAGAAGGAACAGGATTTGAAGAGAAAGTTAGAAGCTAGAAAGAGAAAGAAAGATCGTTTGGAAAGACAAGAACATGAGCTCAGAAGCAAAATTCTAAAAAACTGGAAAGTTAAAGAAGAAAGGGAGGAGGAAATACAAAGAGAGTCTTTGCGCAAAAAAATTGCTGGTCAAGGAAAAATGAAAAGTGCTGTGGTAGTGAAAAAGTAACACAAGGGTGTGCTGTCTGAGGAGCATGGGTCTAGATTACTACATGACTGTAAGGTAGCTATAGAGGACTGACTGTGAGGTAGAGGGCTGACTGTGAGGTAGAGGGCTGACTGTAAGGTAGCTATAGAGGACTGACTGTCAGGTAGAGAGCTGACTGTCAGGTAGAGGGCTGACTGTGAGGTAGAGGGCTGACTGTCAGGTAGAGGGCTGACTGTCACGTAGAGGGCTGACTGAGAGGTAGAGGGCTAACTGTGAGGTAGAAAGCTGACTGTGAGGTAGAAGGCTGACTGTGAGGTAGAGAGCTGACTGTCAGGTAGAGGGCTGACTGTCATGTAGAGGGCTGACTGAGAGGTAGAGGGCTGACTGTGAGGTAGAAAGCTGACTGTGAGGTAGAAAGCTGACTGTGAGGTAGAGAGCTGACTGTCAGGTAGAGAGCTGACTGTGAGGTAGAAAGCTGACTGTGAGGTAGAGAGCTGACTGTGAGGTAGAGAGCTGACTGTCGGGTAGAAAGCTGACTGTTGGGTAGAAAGCTGACTGTCAGGTAGAGGACTGGTTGTCAGGTAGAGGACTGACTGTCAGGTAGAAGGCTGACTGTCAGGTAGAGAGCTGACTGTCAGGTAGAAGGCTGACTGTCAGGTAGAGAGCTGTTTTTGTTGCCGCTGTAAATCGAGGAGAATTAATAATAATGTTTTGTACAGTTGATTGTACATCCTACTATTATTTAGTGTCCGTCTTTGATCCAAAAGATTTCGGTTTGTCTCTGTAAATGATGAACATGTCGGGGTCAATTTTCCTGTCCAGATTGATATATGTACAAAGCAATGAGCAGATGTCATTTCCTTATAAGTTTACAAATGTACGGACAGAGATCATTTGTCATGTCCAGATCCATACATGTGATGATTTCAGAACACAGAGTCGGGAGAGTTCTCTCCCCCAGAGTGATGACTTCAGGACACAGAGTCGGGAGAGTTCTCTCCCACAGATAGGGGATGACTTCAGGACACAGAGACGCGAGAGTTCTCTCCCACAGAAAGGTGATGACTTCCGGACACAGAGTCGGGAGAGTTCCTTACCACGACTTAAGGACACAGATTTGGGAGAGTTCTCTCCCCCAGAGTGATGACTTCAGGACATAGAGTCGTGAGAGTTCTCTCCCCCAGAGGGATGACTTCAGGACACAGAGTCGTGAGAGTTCTCTCCCCCAGAGGGATGACTTCAGGACACAGATTTGGGGGGGTTCTCTCCCACAGATAGGGGATGACTTCAGGACACAGAGTTGGGAGAGTTCTCTCCCACAGATAGGTGATGACTTCAGGACACAGATTTGGGAGGGTTCTCTCCCACAGATAGGTGATGACTTCAGGACACAGAGTCGGGAGAGTTCCTTACCACAGAGTGATGACTTCAGGACACAGAGTCGTGAGAGTTCTCTCCCCCAGAGTGATGACTTCAGGACACAGAGTCGCGAGAGTTCTCTCCCACAGATAGGTGATGACTTCAGGACACAGATTTGGGAGAGTTCTCTCCCACAGATAGGTGATGACTTCAGGACACAGAGTCGGGAGAGTTCTCTCCCACAGATAGGTGATTGAGGGTTTGGTAGGTTTTCTTGGCAAGCATTCTTTTATCAGAATAATGAATTTTCGTTAATATAGCCCATTATTCATAAATTAAGACTTGTTCATATATCATTGCCAGTGATGCAATGCTTTCTAAACAGTACAAAAAGATAAGAATTTTTAACATTACCGACACTGGTAGGGAGATTATGATTCTTTAGTGTGAGTTTAAATTTTTCAAAATATGGAAGGACTCCTTGTGAAATAGGGAGACATCACAATCAGATCAAAAACAGACGGAAAGAATGTCCTGTTTGTTTTATCATGGACAAATATTTCAGGGAGTAACAATTTGCTCTTACTATGTACTTGGATTCAGAAGTAGATGGCTTGAGCATTGAAACCAGTGACTGACATGTTGTGTGTTTCAGTTTGTCCATGGTCTGAGATTATAAGTTGATTTATTATTAATGGTCCTTGAGACACTTTTAACAGTTATTTACCTTGCATTATTCCTGTAATTTGATACATGTACATACAAAAAATCATTGTCTTTTTTTTGAGTTAAGTCATCTTTACAATTTTAGGTTATTCAAAAATTGAAATATTTACAGTAAAATCAATTAAGATAAGATGAACAAGACTATACAGTAGAGGTACAGCTATAAGGATATTCAGAGGGAGAGTTCATTAATTACTCTGAGGGAGATTTCATTAGTTCATTAATTACTCTGAGGGAGATTTCATTAGTTCATTAACTACTCTGAGGCAGAGTACATTAGTTCATTAACTACTCTGAGGGAGAGTTCATTAGTTCATTAACTACTCTGAGGGAGAGTTCATTAGTTCATTAACTACTCTGAGGCAGAGTTCATTAGTTCATTAACTTCTCCATTGTTACAATTCATTTGTATGATTGTTGATATGACAGTATGTTGGGTTTATATGTTCAGTGTGTATTGACAGTCAGCACATGTTGTTTTGCATTTGAAAATAAAACTATTTTATTGTATTTATTGTTAATATTGTTTTATAAGCCCTGCAAACTGTACTGGCTTCAATGTACCTGTATAGGGAAGCTACTGCTCTCTGATTGGACAAGAGTTTCGGCACACTAACTTGATCAAACATTACTAGATACTTATGAAATGGTGAAGATTTACACTACGCAGAGACAAGTCCTGATTAGAAGCTGGGCATAATTCATAAATTAATATTTACAGTAATATATATATGCTCTGATTGGTTGGGATTTCCAATAATTATTTAAATCAAATCTGACTGGATTTTACTGAAATTTGGTAATTAAACAGAGCTTAAAACGCAATTGGTCTAGTATTATGATGGGATGATTGGCTATCATGTTTCGTCTGAATTACCAAGATACCCTGGGTCATGGTAATTGAACTGTGAAGCTTAATGGAGGACATATCTATGAAGTCTGGAATCTGAATGATTGACCTTAACCAGAGACGTATATATTACATATACCTCTCTGGCTAAACCGACTTTGAAGGTAGGATTTTGAAAAAAAAGCTAAAAATCTTCCAACGAAGATTCATAAGGCATAAATTAAAAAAGAAAGCTAAGTTCAGTACTGTGTACAATAATAGCATTTATCCTATTTAAATAAATGTTATATTGATCCTCTTTTAAGGTCACAGATGTGATATGAATAACAAATGAGCGATACAGACCCATTAGACCTCTTGTTTCCTCTACATTAATAAATGGAAAATATACATATATACTAGGAAATAGTTACCAATATTGATGTGCAAAATTCATAATATAACAAATGCCCTGATCGGGAGCACAATAAACAAAAAGGCTTGAGGAAATCGTAACGGGGGACAAACATGGTGAATTTCTTTGTGTCTGACTTAAAACCAAACAAGGAACGACTTTCCTCTGACGAATCTCTCCCTACAATTGCCAAGAGACCAAAGGCGTGAACAAGATTTTGTATTCTTTAATTCAAAAGGTCTTGTTCTTTTTAAAATACCTATGAAAGTCGGAAAAGATGCCATTAGTAAACATACACAGAACAAATCCTTCAAGAGGTCAAAGAAATTAACACATGTTCATGAGCGGCAAAAATCTACAAGAAAGGTGTCAACATTTTGCACGATAACGCCCAAACTGGTAACGTTTGATTTCGTTTAACGTCTATAGCTAGTTCTAATCGACAGCTAAGATCACGCATTCCTGCGATAGTGCTAATCTAATGCTGATTTACGGTGCTACCTCAATGGAAGACAAGGCCGAAGGCACCCGGCATAGTATTCCACCCGGTCACATTATGCTGACAACGGGAATGCTGAACGTTCAACAAGTATTAACAGCAACCATTTTAAGGACTTTTCAGAACCCTTTGCATTGCCAACTTCGTCGAACGTTCAATACTAAGGCCAATCGTGAGGTATTGCCAAGAGGCACGTTAGGAAACAAAGAGATTGGTAGCAAGTTGGGAGAAATATCCAGATCCCTGATGTTGCAATGGATACATCAAATATATTTTGGTCGCTGTTATGTCCACAAGTAACGGACACAAATGCAAGTCCCCATTTTGCAGGAGTTTCTTACATTTGTTGCCTTTTTGCAACATACTGTTGTTAGCAGCAGACATTATCTGACCCCAAAGAATACAACAATTGTTACACAAAAGAACAAGTGAAAACCAAGTTTCCCAACTTCAGATCCTCCGTATTTTCGAGGCTTGCCCAAGGTTTGAATTGCACACAATACAGTCTAGTTTGTCTAGTTCGAGCGTCCGTAGAACGAGCCAGACAAATGGTCTGGATTTGCGTCAATGTACAAACAACGTCTTTCATCTTACACAGGCAGCAAGTGTTTTAACATCCTTCAGAGGACAATACAAAACCAGATGATGCGTATTCTTATGAAGGTAGGAGCTGCCACCGGGTTATTCAGAGACGGATAAGTCATTAAGACATAGGTCGTCTCCTGCGAAATGCCAGTTGAGAAGCTAATGACGAAGTAATCGGAAAGTGGAAAGAAATCATTTAATTATTTACCGTGTTGTTAACGTTTCTATTCCGCTGGTAAAGGGGATAATTTCGATAGACCTCTATACCCATCTATTCTACATTTTTCTACACATATAGCAAATACACCAGTCGAATTACTGAAAACCTCAACAGACAACGGCTTTTCCTGCACTTGAATGAAGTGAAAAGAAACCTCCTACTCTACACTTACCACAACCTCATGGTTTATGGTTTGTTTGTATTGAATGACGCTGTTTAATTTACGACCTAAAATTATCCTAATGGCAGTGTGTATTTTATTGAAGTGCTAGTCATCTTAGAAAACTCCTATTCCACCGAAGCGACACCACTTTATTTTTCAAAATCTGTCGCAGTCCGTGTCTTTTTGTGTTTGAATATATGTTTTGCATTTAGATATCAAATTTGTTTTGTAGACTTGCCCTACGCAGAAATGCTATTTTCTTAAAAGTTCCGTATCCTCAGCAGTCAGAATACTACACACTCGAATATGCAGTTGGACACGGTGTCGAGTGGAGCGGGAAGATCAGAAAATAACCAAATTCACTTTTCAAACTATTTTAATGTATTTTCTCAATGATCATTTCTATTGCTACTGTGCTTATATATATTGAGCTTTACCTGGACAGTTCGGCAATAACCAGTACCACAGTAACAAACTATGACAAACGTATCGAATGAAATCAATTTCACAATCGTTGCCATTCCTTTCCTTGTCAATAACATACCAACTTCCCTTTCTTATGGAGTCTGTATTTGTTCGTTTTACATATCAAGATTGCCTCCATACACGTGTATCATTATCCTATAAACTATCCAGGAAACGCTTGCCTTCTCCTATCATTTCGTTTCCCCTTGTTTCAGGAGTTCATTATGCCTTTCCGTTTGGTTAATGTCTCCTCGGGTCCTGATCTTGACTTTCCCTATTAAATTGGAGTTTTGATTTTTGTCCTTGTGTGTTGATGTATTTTTTCTATTAAGTTACTATTGCTATATTTTGTTAGCTAATAGCTTGTGTTACGTATGTTTTTTGTTTAATATAAGTACACTCTGAGTTTAGTATCAGTAAATTTTGTGTTGAGTATCAGTCTATTTTGTGTTAAGAATCAGTATATTTTGTGTTGAGTATCAGTATATTTTGTATCAGTCTATTTGTGTTGAGTATCAGTATACTTTGTGTTAAGTATCAGACTATTTTGTGTTAAGATTCAGACTATTTTGTGTGAAGTATCAGTTTATTTTGTGTATTGTATCAGTATATTTTGTGTATTGTATCAGTATATTTTGTGTATTGTATCAGACTATTTTATGTTGAGTATCAGTATTCTTTGTGTTGAGTATCAGTATATTTTGTGTTAAGTATCAGTATATTTTGTGTTTTGTATCAGTATATATTGTATCAGTATATTTTGTGTATTGTATCAGTATATTTTGTGTATTGTATCAGTATATTTTGTGTTATGTATCAGTATATTTTGTGTTAAGTATCAGTATATTTTGTGCTGAGTATCAGTATATTTTATGTATTGTATCAGTATATATTGTACCAGTATATTTTGTGCTGAGTATAAGTATATTTTGTGTTAAGTACCAGTATATTTTGTGTCTTGTATCAGTATATTTTGTGTTTTGTATCAGTACATTTAGTGTTTTGTATCAGTCTATTTCATGTTGAGTATCAGTATACTTTGTGTTGAGTATCAGTATATTTTGTGTTTTGTATCAGTATATTTAGTGTTTTGTATCAGTATATTTTATGTTGAGTATGATTATATTTTGTGTTTTGTATCAGTACATTTAGTGTTTTGTATCAGTCTATTTCATGTTGAGTATCAGTATACTTTGTGTTGAGTATCAGTATATTTTGTGCTGAGTATCAGTATATTTTGTGCTGAGTATCAGTATATTTTGTGTTGAGTATCATCATATTTTGCGTATTGTATTTGTATATTTTGTGTTAAGTATCAGTATATTTTGTGCTGAGTATCAGAATCTTTTGTGTTTTGTATCAGTATATTTAGTGTTTTGTATCAGTATATTTTATGTTGAGTATGATTATATTTTGTGTTTTGTATCAGTACATTTAGTGTTTTGTATCAGTCTATTTTATGTTGAGTATCAGTATACTTTGTGTCGAGTATCAGTATATTTTGTGTTTTGTATCAGTATATTTAGTGTTTTGTATCAGTCTATTTTATGTCGAGTATCAGTATACTTTGTGTTAAGTATCAGACTAGTTTGTGTTAAGTATCAGTATATTTTGTGTTGAGTATCAGTATATTTTGTGCTGAGTATCAGTATATTTTGTGTTGAGTATCATCATATTTTGTGTATTGTATTTGTATATTTTGTGTTAGAAGTATAAGTTTATTTTATGTTAAGAATTAGAACATTAAATGTTAAACGTTTAAAAACGTGTTTCAAACATGTTTTAGACCAAACCGTGGAGCAAGAACGTCCCGGTAATTAAAAAGGTCTTTGAGTACAATACACATATACATGTATCAAAGTCGGTGATGGTATTTTTAATGAACTTTTATCAGCTTTCTCAAAGGAAAATTGGTATATATATGTCTCGATGTAAAAGATACAGGAAAAATTAAAAACACAAACACTTTATATTGCAATCGCTTACATTCTTGTCCTTGGTCTTGTATAGACCAAATTATCCAACAAATACAGTAAAGTTTAATGTAAAACTTGAAAAAAACTGAAAATGAAAACAGTTTATCACAGTCAGATTGAATCGTGATGATCGTCGGTTACATTTACATAGCTATACTACACTCTATCAAACATATCAGGACATATAGAGCTTGATCCAATATATACATTAAATTTACATTAAACTTTAATAAGCTAAAAAAATAAAAATAAAAGAAACAAACAAACAAAAACAAGACAAATAAAAATTAACAATTCATGTTTGTCAACACCTCGTATGCATTAAGACCTTGAATTATGATATACATCCAGGCTAATTAAGCTTAACAACCATGCTAACGCTACAGGTATTCAACCATGTTATAAACCCGTGCTAGCTACATATGTGTTTACACATTGTTTTGTACAAACATGTTATACAACAACGCTAGCGCTATACAAAAATGTTATACAAATATGCAGTTAATATACTTGAATTAGATATGTTAATCCTTTCTTGTGCCATATGACTATAATACACCCATGCTAACGTTTTTTTACCATGCGAGCGCTACAGTATATAACCATGTTATACATCCATACATGTTTTGTACAAACACGTTATATAACCATACTAGTGCTATTCCGTCTTTGCGTATTGCAGCGTTATCTGCTCTTGTGAGCAGGTATTGATTGTTACGTCATTGGTTTGTGTGAGAAAATTACGTCGTTTTCTCAAAAATTGATGACGTTACTCTTACAAACAAACGACGTAACAATCAATACCTGCTCACAAAAGCAGATAACTCAATACGAAAGGACGGAATACAATCATGTTAAACAACCAGACAAGTGATGTAAAATCTTGCTAGCGTCATACAACAATGTTATCGCTATTCAAACATGCTTTAACACCATGCTAAGGATAATCAACCATACGTGTTAAAAGGCAATGAGTGTACTCTATACGTGTAACCATGTTAGATCTATACATGAGTAACTGTTGTGAAATCGTGTTTCATCTAACACTGTTTATGTACCACGCCTAGGAATTGTAGTCTACAACCTTACAATTGCTATGCAATCATGCTGGCGTTATACAATCAGATTATATAGCAATATTCAGTATTAACCACTTAATATATACATTTGTATCTCTAATTCGTAAAAATACTTCTAAAACTTTAACATTTGTCGAGCTAATATCTCAACTGTTAAAAAGACAATAAGAAAACATCAAGGATCCATTTAGATTTATAAGCATGAAATCGCCCATAACCGTAGTAGTCCTAAAATTGTTTTACAGCTACGAACTTTACAGTAATGTAAACCATAAAATCATGTTAGTACTAAACAATACATGTAGATAATCATGCTCATAGTTTATAGTTCAGCGACTTTATTATAGAAACTATATAATCAAACACTATCGACCATTGAAATACTTCAGATACAAATGTAATCTATTTTGACTCATGTGTATTCTCAATATCACAATTATTTAAATGATGGAATAGAAACTACAGTAATAAATTAAACAATAATAAAATACGAACAGTAATGTGTAACACACATTTAGTAAACAAAAAACCCAAAACATCTGAGCACCAAATTGCGTATGCTTCATTTTTGTAAAAGGTGATACATATATCGTATCTCTAAATGGAGACTTAAATGTAGACGCGATTATTTCTTTTCAAGTGATATTTTATAATTATGCAATCCTAAAAACACCTATAGGTGTATACTGGTTACTTGTTACACCTTATTGTTTAATTCACATAAACAACATTACCTATGTTACAGACCAACTCTATGACAAACGGTATTTTAAATTTCACCAAAACCGTTCTTATAAATCTATGAGCTGTATCTATTAATCCATGAATTATGGTTATTACTTTGAGTAAATTTGATTGATAATGCAGTTTTTTCTCTATCTACTAAATCCATCATAGAAATCACACAAGCTTCTCAATTGCGTTGCTGACCCGCATGAGTTGTTCTAAGCCTTTCAGTCCGACCTCCTCCTTTAGACTTCTGTAGAAGAATTCTGGGGCCTAAAAAACGCAAAAACGGTTACAATACAAAATACATTATAATAACATACACATACAATCATTAAATTATATAAACACGTGTTACAACCAACAGGCATGCCCACACATCATAAACACTTGTTAAATACACGTGTTGATATGCACACACATAAACTCACATCATAAACACACCCATGCGTCGTAAACACATGTTCAACTACATACATAAACACGTCGACACTTTATAATACGTGTTAAAATACATTTACAGGTCAACTTATCATGTGTATGCCATGCAACTCATATGAACGCGTGCGACAATGCACAATAAGTGCTAAAATACATTAAAAACTTGTAGCATTACAATGATATGTACACACACATGCAGTACAACATATATTGTTTTCGTCAAACATTTGTTAAAGTTAACACACTAACAAGTTTTACCATACATAGAAATGTAACAATCTAAACACTAGTTAAAATGTCCCTTAACAAGTGAACAATGTAAACAAAAGTGACGCTTTGATTTAATAAATGAAACAATAGACAAACAAGTGAAACAATCTGCTAACAAGTCAAATGAGTAACGAACAGGGGGCAGTATATACAGGCAACAGTTAGGCCAATACTCAAACAACATACAAATGTCACATCACAAATACTAATGTAACATTACACATACTAATGTAACATTACACATACTAATGTAACATTACACATACTAATGTAACATTACACACACAAATGTCACATTACACATACTAATGTCACATTACACATACTAATGTAACATTACACATACAAATGTAACATTACACATACTAATGTAACATTACACATACAAATGTCACATTACACATACAAATGTAACATTACACATACTAATGTAACATTACACATACTAATGTAACATTACACATACAAATGTCACATTACACATACAAATGTCACATTACACATACTAATGTAACATTACACATACTAATGTAACATTACACATACTAATGTAACATTACACATACAAATGTCACATTACACATACAAATGTCACATTACACATACTAATGTAACATTACACATACTAATGTAACATTACACATACTAATGTAACATTACACATACAAATGTCACATTACACATACAAATGTCACATTACACATACTAATGTAACATTACACATACTAATGTAACATTACACATACTAATGTAACATTACACATACAAATGTCACATTACACATACAAATGTCACATTACACATACTAATGTAACATTACACATACTAATGTAACATTACACATACTAATGTAACATTACACATACAAATGTCACATTACACATACAAATGTCACATTACACATACTAATGTAACATTACACATACTAATGTAACATTACACATACTAATGTAACATTACACATACAAATGTCACATTACACATACAAATGTCACATTACACATACTAATGTAACATTACACATACTAATGTAACATTACACATACTAATGTAACATTACACATACAAATGTCACATTACACATACAAATGTCACATTACACATACTAATGTAACATTACACATACTAATGTAACATTACACATACTAATGTAACATTACACATACAAATGTCACATTACACATACAAATGTCACATTACACATACTAATGTAACATTACACATACTAATGTAACATTACACATACTAATGTAACATTACACATACAAATGTCACATTACACATACAAATGTAACATTACACATACTAATGTAACATTACACATACTAATGTAACATTACACATACAAATGTAACATTACACATACAAATGTCACATTACACATACAAATGTAACATTACACATACTAATGTAACATTACACATACTAATGTAACATTACACATACAAATGTCACATTACACATACAAATGTCACATTACACATACTAATGTAACATTACACATACTAATGTAACATTACACATACTAATGTAACATTACACATACAAATGTCACATTACACACACAAATGTCACATTACACATACAAATGTAACATTACACATACTAATGTAACATTACACATACTAATGTAACATTACACATACAAATGTCACATTACACATACAAATGTCACATTACACATACTAATGTAACATTACACATACTAATGTAACATTACACATACTAATGTAACATTACACATACAAATGTCACATTACACATACAAATGTCACATTACACATACTAATGTAACATTACACATACTAATGTAACATTACACATACTAATGTAACATTACACATACAAATGTCACATTACACATACAAATGTCACATTACACATACTAATGTAACATTACACATACTAATGTAACATTACACATACTAATGTAACATTACACATACAAATGTCACATTACACATACAAATGTCACATTACACATACTAATGTAACATTACACATACTAATGTAACATTACACATACTAATGTAACATTACACATACAAATGTCACATTACACATACAAATGTAACATTACACATACTAATGTAACATTACACATACTAATGTAACATTACACATACAAATGTCACATTACACATACAAATGTCACATTACACATACTAATGTAACATTACACATACTAATGTAACATTACACATACTAATGTAACATTACACATACAAATGTCACATTACACATACAAATGTCACATTACACATACTAATGTAACATTACACATACTAATGTAACATTACACATACTAATGTAACATTACACATACAAATGTCACATTACACATACAAATGTAACATTACACATACTAATGTAACATTACACATACTAATGTAACATTACACATACAAATGTCACATTACACATACAAATGTCACATTACACATACTAATGTAACATTACACATACTAATGTAACATTACACATACTAATGTAACATTACACATACAAATGTCACATTACACATACAAATGTCACATTACACATACTAATGTAACATTACACATACTAATGTAACATTACACATACTAATGTAACATTACACATACAAATGTCACATTACACATACAAATGTCACATTACACATACTAATGTAACATTACACATACTAATGTAACATTACACATACTAATGTAACATTACACATACAAATGTCACATTACACATACAAATGTCACATTACACATACTAATGTAACATTACACATACTAATGTAACATTACACATACTAATGTAACATTACACATACAAATGTCACATTACACATACAAATGTCACATTACACATACTAATGTAACATTACACATACTAATGTAACATTACACATACTAATGTAACATTACACATACAAATGTCACATTACACATACAAATGTCACATTACACATACTAATGTAACATTACACATACTAATGTAACATTACACATACTAATGTAACATTACACATACAAATGTCACATTACACATACAAATGTCACATTACACATACTAATGTAACATTACACATACTAATGTAACATTACACATACTAATGTAACATTACACATACAAATGTCACATTACACATACAAATGTCACATTACACATACTAATGTAACATTACACATACTAATGTAACATTACACATACTAATGTAACATTACACATACAAATGTCACATTACACATACAAATGTAACATTACACATACTAATGTAACATTACACATACTAATGTAACATTACACATACAAATGTAACATTACACATACAAATGTCACATTACACATACAAATGTAACATTACACATACTAATGTAACATTACACATACTAATGTAACATTACACATACAAATGTAACATTACACATACAAATGTCACATTACACATACAAATGTAACATTACACATACTAATGTAACATTACACATACTAATGTAACATTACACATACAAATGTCACATTACACATACAAATGTCACATTACACATACTAATGTAACATTACACATACTAATGTAACATTACACATACTAATGTAACATTACACATACAAATGTCACATTACACATACAAATGTCACATTACACATACTAATGTAACATTACACATACTAATGTAACATTACACATACTAATGTAACATTACACATACAAATGTCACATTACACATACAAATGTCACATTACACATACTAATGTAACATTACACATACTAATGTAACATTACACATACTAATGTAACATTACACATACAAATGTCACATTACACATACAAATGTAACATTACACATACTAATGTAACATTACACATACTAATGTAACATTACACATACAAATGTCACATTACACATACAAATGTCACATTACACATACTAATGTAACATTACACATACTAATGTAACATTACACATACTAATGTAACATTACACATACAAATGTCACATTACACATACAAATGTCACATTACACATACTAATGTAACATTACACATACTAATGTAACATTACACATACTAATGTAACATTACACATACAAATGTCACATTACACATACTAATGTAACATTACACATACTAATGTAACATTACACATACTAATGTAACATTACACATACAAATGTCACATTACACATACTAATGTAACATTACACATACTAATGTAACATTACACATACTAATGTAACATTACACATACAAATGTCACATTACACATACTAATGTAACATTACACATACTAATGTAACATTACACACACAAATGTCACATTACACATACAAATGTAACATTACACACACAAATGTCACATTACACACACTAATGTAACATTACACACACAAATGTCACATTACACACACAAATGTCACATTTCACATATAAATGTCACATTACACACATACATCTTTACAAATGTCACATTACACATACAAATGTCACATTACACATACAAATGTCACATTACACATACTAATGTCACATTACACACACAAATGTGACATAACACATACTAATGTAACATTACACACACAATTGTCACATTACACATACTAATGTCACATTACACATATAAATTGAGCATAACACAGTGTTTGACCAGGTTACGTATTGATCGTTGTTTCGATTAAAGTTTGACTGTAATTGGATCCTACAGCAGGGGTTAACACATCTTACACTTCTCAAACATTGGAACAAACAGGTACGCGTAAAAAGGCGCGTCGATACAAATGCTATTTTTTACACGTTAATTAAGATATTTTGACGGTAATTTGTTTATACGTTTAAAATTATAAAAGGTATAAACCGCGTTACGTTATATCTTGAATGTGCCGTCATTCACCTGATATAACCACCCGTATATTTCTAGCATCACACATACCTTGACCGAGATTTTGACAAGAAATTGTAGCTGTTCACAGGTGATAGCTTTCATCCCTGCAAATCTGTATTAAACATAAGGAAACCAAGCTAAAATGTGTTCAAACATAATATATATATATATATATGATAGCTAAATTATTGAAGCCTGCATAACAACATAGTTAAGTAGTTAAGTTATCTATTTGTATAGATAATGTGAGGGTATGCCCACGAAGTTCAGTTTATTTTTTTATCATTTTTGCAGAAGTTGCCGATTTTTTTTCAAAGGGAAACTCTATGGAGCTGTCCATAAATGAAGTTTAAATGCGTTGTTAAATTTCCTTTTTAACTGCAATACAAACACATGATATTACCCTGAATATGACGTTTTCCATTAAATATTACTTTGTCAGTTGATTCCAAACTAACCATTACAAGTTACCTATATGACTCCTACTGACCATCACCTATTATCTGTATAATCTTAACTCACCATAAGCTGTTACCTTACCACAGTAACTAACCGTCAGCTGTCACATTACAATCATAACTACCCATCAACTTTTACCTTTTAACGAAAACTGACTACAAATTTATAACAATAGCAATAACCTGCCCAACTAAATTGGTTTCTCCGGGTACTCCCGCAACTCCATTCCACATTAAGATCCCCCTCGCGCTAACATCTGGCCAACAAAAGTTAAAATTATAAGCTAATATAAATTGTTTCATTATTTTTGTAAAACAAACAATTCTATACGTATACCCATCTGATTCCTTCCATGCCCACTAAACCACTTGATACTATCCTTATCTAGCTTAAACTTTCAATATTAATGTATCCAAGGACGGAATTAAATCTACTTGTTCAATGGCTTGCAGCGTTTACAGCCATTAACATGTAGTCACATACGTGTGTAGTCTGTTGTCTTTTAACCACGTTTCTATATCATCCTCCGTCCACGAGTCCAGTTGACTGGCGATTTGACTGCTGGTCTTTTTTGTCTACAAACAAGACTATCGTAATTACCAAAAAAAGAATGATATATTTTGAATATGTCACGGTGATAGCTCTACAACTTTTACATGATTTAAAACTGGTTTATAGTTTTTCGAAACAATAAAGTTTTTTCTATACACTATAATTAAAGGAGATGTTGAGTCACGTGTTAAGTTTATGTCTTTGTCACATAGTCTAGCTGAAGCTGATGCTGGATTATGGAGACATTTATCTTTATTTTTCTCGGGGTTAAAACCTATAAAAAATCATAAGAATATTGAAAATCATATATATATCCAAACTGATAATATGAATAATGCACTTCTGAAGACTTTATTGTCAAAGATGCTTTCTTTAGCGATGTCCATTTAGAAACAAATGTTTAAAAGAAATGGTGCCACAGAAATGCCCACTTATTGGGATACCATTATTTACACAGATATAATTCCACACTTGACTGCTTATAAGAATACAGAATATTGTAGCATTTGCTGTTTGTTGGAGTTATCCGTTATAAACTATTACATATCCCATACAACCGTTTTCACCTGTTTTGAATTTTTTGGTTTTGACGCCGTAGTACTTATATCTGAAGGTGCTGTCTGTTTTAAAGTTGTTGTTGGTGATGTATTTGCTTGTGTGTCGGGGAGCGGAGATGGTAATGGGGGAGGTATTCTTGGCTGGCCCGGCCTCATATAATCCCCCATAGCGCTGACAACCTCCTGCATGCGTGCTTCAAATGCTGGCTGGTTGTCAAGTTCAATGTCGTAGAATTTGTAGTAGAGTTTTTCACCGAGCAGCATGTCTAACCAGCCAGGTAGCCAGGTATCGGGCTTTTTTTGCATCATTAATGGGATTATAATCTTTTTCTTCTTGCGTGCAAACTCTGCCTCTGTAAAAAGAATACATTACAATAGTGAATATAATTAATTTCCATTCTGTAATGATAAACGTTTAGCGCCCTGGGCATTGGGTTTAAGCTTTGGAGAACATATACATTTATGTAGCAATATGATTTAACCGAACTTGCTGTTATTTTAGCACGATTTTCGATTTGCTTATATATTTCTTTTCATTCGAAAACTAAACCAGTGATGTGTACTATTTAGTATAAACTGACCTGTTCGACAATTGGCACTGTTGCCGTACTGCTCCGATGCACAAATGACAACGATCTCTGAATCTAGGACAGCTTGAGACATAGCATCAAGGACGTTGCCCTTCATATTATACACGTCCATCCACAGCGGAAAGCCAGCAGTTTTTAAACTATCATATACCTGGAAAGAAAACCATTCAAATAATCACTGGTGCATTGTAATTATAGTAAATCAACATTTTAACCGAAATAAGAGTAAATGCATATTTATATATATGGACAGTAAACACCCAAACAATTACACGTGCCGTATGCATACACACAAAAGATGTAAAGTAGATGACACGTTGTCGCAAACATTAAAACTCCAGGCAATTATTTCATTTTTTATCATTAAACTAATGAAGCAATCACATAGAAAATAACAAATGTAACATATTCGATTCCTATTTTGAATACTCACATGTCAGAAATAATTATAGAATAAAGAAAAACAAAATGAACATAACAATTGTGCAAAATAATGTGATTGATTCTAGAAAATTAGGTTTTTTATTTGAAATAACAGGAAATGCTGGTATCGCCAATGAAACCTTTGGTTAATTGTGCGAATTTGCATAATACGGTATATCTGTCTTCAAATATAAGTCAAATGATTTACTTTCAGTAATACTGGTTGATGAGCCCAGTTATAGCTGAGCATGACATGTCCAGGCTTTTCTTGGGATACTGGATGTTTTTCTACAACAGGCGACGTAGACGGCGGAACTGCAGAGGGTTTAGACCATATTTTCTTCTTACTCGGAACCATGGAATCTTGCAAAATGTATGTTTGATCATTTTGATATCAATACATCGATATAAATAGAATTGGATTACAAACAGACGTATTTAAGGCTTTTACAACAGCAAAACCCTGAAAACTATTGTTGACATTAGGATACTAACATTTTCTTCGTTGACTAAAACCTTGTAATACCACTTGATCAGGATTATCATTATGTGGTGTTTTTCTATTCCTTAAAGTCTTAACGGCTCATAAATATAATAAACGAATATTGCAACACATATTTTTAAATTTCAGTTTCATTTCCTAAAGGCAATGGTGAAGGTCTAACAAATGGCTATTCAAACCCTCACAGATCTTTACGTTTTTTCGGCTACGAGCTTTTCCTGATTCCCTACCTTCGGGAAGAAACAACAAGTAGATTTCATGATATTCTTGTCTGCACAATGTGTTTTTTCTTTTGAAAAGTGGGGCAAATAGGAAGCATGTGGCTACATTATAATAGCAATCACGTGCTTATGTTGGTATACATAGATGTTTATAATTCATGTAATATTATTCATTTGTTTTAAAATCATTCCGTCGTATACATGTGGATATTTCTAACTGTGTATGTTTGGTTGTACACAGCCCCCCTTATTTTCATATCAAACTAGTCCGTCTATAAATACGTATAATAATATCTAACGTTATTTTATAATTAAATCAGGAAATGAAAACTCTTTATTTCTTATCAGCGAAACTTATCGTGATAAAATTTATAACTATTCATTATTCATGAGTTTATTTGAGTGGTGACAATTCGATTCTATTTTACCCAGGATTATTATTATATAGTACGTATTTTAAACTAAAAAATAGAATGTCTTTTATTTTAAACTTTTCAATACCGATATGATTTATCTGCTTAAGAATTCTTCCATAACGAAATCGTAACGGACAAACTGATCTAGATACCCCAGTACTTGTATTATTTCAATTACGATGGATATTTTTTACTACCCTTTTATTTTTTTCTTATATATAGGTCAAAGCTTTTCGCTTTATGACACAATAAAATCATGTAAAAGAGTTAGCTTCCTCTTTCGTTACAGCAAATTGTTAACACTTTAAATATTGAAAGCTGTAGTTGTAAATATATTTAATCTCAGCAAAATTGTCGTAATATATCCAAATAATATTGTTGGAATGTTCAGTTGTGCAAAGGTATATCATAACATTTACAGAAAAGTTCGGAATAAGATTCTTCAGTTTGGTATGAATAATAAAGGCTAAGCTTGTTTTGAACACAAATATGAACTGAAAACTTATTTTGCATTATGATGCAGTGTAAAGTATTTCAGTTTTCATTCATTTTTGTGTTCAAAACAAACTAAGCCTTTAATATACAGCAAAGCCTATTGATGCTTAAATTGATGTAAACGAAAATATTTACTGAAAAATGAGACGACGGATTTGGAAAAGTATATTTCTTAAACTGTACTGTTGATGTTGTACAGGTTATATATACGTGTATAAGAGTTCAAAAGCACGACTAAATGTTACAAATCACTAAACAGTTAGCAGTTACATTGTAACACCGTTACAGTATCTTTTAATAATGTACACACACATTTATATACAGACCTGAAATATTGTGCTTTAATTCGTCTTCAAAGAAAGTATCCGCATCCTCTGAATCGTCTATCACAAAACACGCGTACGACGCTACCTCCACAAGTTCTGCTGTTGTAGAATGTTTCAGGTCCTTCAGCTTCTCCACAAACTCTGTGTCGTTCTGGACAAGTACACAACAGTGATCATAAGTTATACAATACATTACTTAACCACCAGGACAAAATAACGAAATCAGAGCTCAAATCAATGCAACAGCATATCAACAGGAACGAACATTGAATACATTGATATCAATATAAATGAATTATAATACCCACACGGAGTTGAACCTTTAATCTGAATTAAAATTCCAAGCTAATTAGGTAACTTTAACATCAGTTTCAGGTCGGTCTTTGTCAGAGTAAGTGGTTATAAGTTAAACGTAACACACACACACAGGCGATTGTCCCTTTAGGTAATAGATACAATATGTCAAAAATGCTTTACACTGTCCCACACGGCTGTTTCGTCGTTCTAGGACTCATTGGTGATGCTAGACACAAATGTAGCGACACCGTTACCTTCTCATTATGTATTTATGTATTAACCAGAGTAAGTTGAGGAACATCCGTAGTGATACAGAACCTACCACTGTAACATGTGCGTGATCGTATTGTAAACCAATATATAATACATTACTCCTGACCTAACAAATGTAACATATTCGATTCCTATTTTGAATACTCACATCTCAAGAAAAAAAAGGAACATAACACTTGTGCAAAATAATGTGATTGATTCTAGAAAAGTAGGCTTTTCATTTGAAATAACAGGAAATGCTGGTATCGCCAATGAAACCTTTGGTTAATTGTGCGAATTTGCATAATATGGTATATCTGTCTACAAATATAAGTCAAATGATTTACTTTCAGTAATACTGGTTGATGAGCTCAGTTATAGCTGAACATGACATGTCCAGGTTTTTCTTGGGATACTGGATACTGGATACTGTGTATGGTTACTTACATTACTCTTGACCTGTGTATGGTTAATTACATTACTCGTGACATGTGTATGGTTAATTACATTACTCTTGACCTGTGTATGGTTAATTAAATTACCCCTGACCTGTGTATGGCTAATTACATTACTCCTGACCTGTGAATGGTTAATTACATTACTCCTGACCTGTGCATGGTTAATTAAATTACTCTTGACCTGTGTATGGTTAATTACCTTACTCTTGACCTGTGTATGGTTAATTACATTACTCTTGACATGTGTATGGTTAATTACATTACTCCTGACCTGTGCATGGTTAATTACATTACTCTTGACCTGTGTATGGTTAATTACCTTACTCTTGACCTGTGTATGGTTAATTACATAACTCTTGACCTGTGCATGGTTAATTGCATTAATCCTGACCTGTGTATGGTTAATTACATTACTATTGACCTGTGTATGGTTAATTACATTACTCTTGACCTGTGCATGGTTAATTACATTACTCCTGACCTGTGTATGGTTAATTGCATTACTCTTGACATGTGTATGGTTAATTACCTTACTCCTAACCTGTGTATGGTTAATTACCTTACTCTTGACCTGTGTATGGTTAATTACCTTACTCTTGACCTGTGGATGGTTAATTACATAACTCTTGACCTGTGCATGGTTAATTGCATTAATCCTGCCCTGTGTATGGTTAATTACATTACTCTTGACCTGTGTATGGGTAATTACATAACTCTTGACCTGTGCATGGTTAATTGCATTAATCCTGCCCTGTGTATGGTTAATTACATTACTCCTGACCTGTGGATGGTTAATTGCATTACTCTTGACATGTGTATTGTTAATTACCTTACTCCTAACCTGTGTATGGTTAATTACCTTACTCTTGACCTGTGTATGGTTAATTACCTTACTCTTGACATGTGTATGGTTAATTACATTACTCCTGACCTGTGCATGGGTAATTAAATTACTCTTGTCCTGTGCATGATTAATTGCATTACTCCTGACCTGTGTATGGTTGCTTACATTACTCTTGACATGTGTATGGTTAATTACATTACTCCTGACCTGTGTATGGTTAAATACCTTACTCCTGACCTGTGAATGGTTAATTACATTACTCCTGACATATGTATGGTTAATTACATTACTCTTGACATGTGTATGGTTAATTACATTACTCCTGACCTGTGCATGGGTAATTAAATTACTCTTGTCCTGTGCATGATTAATTGCATTACTCCTGACCTGTGTATGGTTGCTTACATTACTCTTGACATGTGTATGGTTAATTACATTACTTCTGACCTGTGCATGGTTAATTACATTACTCCTGACCTGTGTATGGTTAAATACCTTACTCCTGACCTGTGTATGGTTAATTACATTACTCCTAACCTGTGTATGGTTAATTACATTACCCCTGACCTGTGTATGGTTAATTACATTACTCCTGACCTGTGAATGGTTAATTGCATTACTCTTGACATGTGTATGGTTAATTACCTTACTCCTAACCTGTGTTTGGTTAATTACCTTACTCTTGACCTGTGTATGGTTAATTACATAACTCTTGACCTGTGCATGGTTAATTGCATTAATCCTGACCTGTGTATGGTTAATTACATTACTCTTGACCTGTGTATGGTTAATTAAATTACACCTGACCTGTGTATGGTTGCTTACATTACTCTTGACATGTGTATGGTTAATTACATTACTCTTGTCCTGTGTATGGTTAATTACACTACCCCTGACCTGTGTATGACTAATTACATTACTCCTGACCTGTGAATGGTTAATTACATTACTCCTGACCTGTGTATGGTTAATTACATTACTCCTGACCTGTGTATGGTTACTAACATTACTCTTGATATGTGTATGGTTAATTACATTACTCCTGACCTGTGCATGGTTAATTACATTTCTCTTGACCTGTGCATGGTTAATTGCATTACCCCTGACCTGTGTATGGTTGCTAACATTACTCTTGATATGTGTATGGTTAATTACATTATTCCTGACCTGTGTATGGTTAAATACCTTACTCCTGACCTGTGTATGGTTAATTACATTACTCCTGACCTGTGTATGGTTAATTACATTACTCCTGACCTGTGTATGGTTAATTACATTACTCCTGACCTGTGTATGGTTAATTACATTACTCCTGACCTGTGTATGGTTAATTACATTACTCCTGACCTGTGTATGGTTAATTACATTACTCCTGACCTGTGTATGGTTAATTACATTACTCCTGACCTGTGTATGGTTAATTACATTACTCCTGACCTGTGTATGGTTAATTACATTACTCCTGACCTGTGTATGGTTAATTACATTACTCCTGACCTGTGTATGGTTAATTACATTACTCCTGACCTGTGTATGGTTAATTACATTACTCCTGACCTGTGTATGGTTAATTACATTACTCCTGACCTGTGTATGGTTAATTACATTACTCTTGACCTGTGTATGGTTAATTACATTACTCCTAACCTGTGTATGGTTAATTACATTACTCTTGACCTGTGTATGGTTAATTACATTACTCCTGACCTGTGTATGGTTAATTACATTACTCCTGACCTGTGTATGGGTAATTACCTTCACTTTAATTCGGTTATTTTCGTCAAATATTAATTCCCAGATTGTTCGCACTGCTGCTATGGTTTCTGACACAACATCACCTCGCTCAATGATTCCTTTTATCATCGTATATGCATCTGTGATATTCATGATATTGCCTTTGTTGTTGTCATTTTTAGCTAAGCGAGACAGCCCATCCAAAAGTTCCTCCACCGAGAACCCTTGGTGTCGCCTATTTTGTGAAGATGTGGCCTTTCGGATCATGTCCAACAGGAATACAAGAAGGGATTTATCTGCTCCCAAAAGCGTCTTGTTTTCTTTTTCGTCCATGATATGTGCAAGTGACAGCAAAGTTATCAGCTTTACATCTGAAATGTAAAGAAAAAAGTAAAAGCTATGTCATACCTATAAAATCAATGCAATATGTTAATGAGTTTTAGTTCTAAAGATATATATATTATCACGAGAGAGGAAATAATAGCAGTTCCATAAAGTCGGGACGAATTGGAATAACAGAAATAAGATCGCTACTCATTCAAACAAGTGGAGATGTAAACTCGTTTGTGAACATAAGGCATTGATCACACGCTGAAACATTTGGATTTAAATCATTTCATTGCTTTGCTTGAAAATAACAGACACGAAGATATAGACACTTTATGAACAAATAACTCAAGAAGAATGCATGTATACACAAACATGTATGTATACCCACACAATAATCTAGAAAGCCAGCACGTGTACCTACATGTATCTGACGATTTTAGGAAGGGAATGAGACATGTCTGAAGCGATACCTCCTCATCTTCTCCAGGCTTTAATTCAACTATGTACATGTCTTTAGTTACGTTTGCACTTCTAGAACAATTGTGGATAATGTTCACAGCTGATTTGAACGGAAATGAACTTTCCTGGGAAAGAGAGAAACCAAGATACATGTTGTAGATATTCTGGAGAACGAATTACCCTATAGGAAATATGTATATGAATACTGTGGATATGGCATTCTATTCCTATAAAACGTGGTTATACGTAAAACACAAGATTATTGCGTAGTATCCAACAGTTTATTTTAACTGGCGTCATTTAAACATTAATTTCGACCATGACTTAGTGTTTTGAGGCTCCATTTTATAATATATATGTGAACCTACACTGACGTGTCAATTTTGTGTTTTGATTTATTTTTAATTAATTTTTTATTTCATTGAGGAACATCTAAAGAATTTGATAACATTGTCAGTAAATATTCATTCAATTCACAATTCTTAATTAAATTTTAGTTAATTTTTAATTTTGACTCCCAGCTTTATAGGGACCTAAATAGCAACAAATGCTCTCGATACATATATATGGCTTATTATTAATGAATCGTTGTTACCTTGTCCCACCCATTAAACTGTACACACATAGTAACATTATAAATTATAGATAAATCAAAGGTCACGTAAATGTATTGTTTGCATCGGTAAACCTATTGGTGCAAACAACTTCTAAATACCTTAATTTGGTCAAATTCATGTTTCCTCATTTCCTGTAAATCCTTTGCTAAGAATCCAAACATGAGTCGTGGTTTGGCTATCGCAACCTGAAATCCAGGGCTTAAATCAGAAAAGTTCCATAATATTTTTCGAATTTCTCTCAGCAAGGATTTTTCAATGCCTGCATCTTTTAATGTGTCCAAGGTAAATGCGTCATACATGTCCTCAATGGTGTACCTGTATAATCTGACGAGTTTGTCGACCAACCTGTAAAATACGTCAGAGTAAGTCATACATGTCCTCAATGGTGTACCTGTATAATCTGACGAATGTGTCGACCAACCTGTAAAATACGTCAGAGTAAAAAGTCTTGATGTAACCAAACTAGTCGATTCATTTGAAATAATTTCACTATAAAACAATTAATAAACTTCCAAATTAGTTTATGCTAGGAAACCAGCAAGACCCCGTGTTTATTCAACAGAATCCTACATCAAGTTCATTCCTCTTGTTTGAATATGAACTTTCCTCTTTCGCACACCTGTTTGAAACCGAGCGTTGCTGATGACTTTTTATCAATCGCATCAATTGTATATGCTGTATATATTTATGTAAGTGATATTAAAACCACACTAATTAGTCATGGACAAAAGATTGCATGTACTATCAATATTGAGAGGAATGTCTTCTTTCACTCTGTAGTTGAGCCTCTTTATTTAGAATGCAAAGAATGTTTTCTGTAGATATCTCCGAAAACAAACTTTTCCTAGTGATATATATTCTTCTGATTTATGGACTCTAAAGTAGTTTGATAATCTCCAAGTGTTGTGATAACATTAAAACGGCTAGATATAAAAATATAATACGGAGACGTCTGCATGACTGTATTGTTTTGCGCTTTAAAACGAAAAGAATCATATTTCAATAAACATTAATTGAAATTGTCCCAGGACTATGGAATATCTACGCGTGGACATAGAACGACTCGATTTCACGAGCGATAGACTCAGGTTATACATGCGCTATCACGATTAAATACACGTCAATCGAGCAATAGAAGTAATTAAAGCTCTTCTGATTAAAGTCGTCATATCAGACGCAACCTACTCAGAGAAAATTCACCTAAGAATTTATATCATTGCCAGTGACTGTTCATTCAGCTCACAATGCACGGCTCATCACATCACTTAGCAATAATGTATCTACAATATCTCTCCTACTCATACTGTATCTTACCCAATCTTGGCCATAAACTGTCCGATTGTTTGTCGGTCGGTTGAACTCGTAAATTCCTCGAATATATCCGACAAATCCTGTTTAAGAACCTTCAGGATGGGGTCAAAGTAGGTCTCGGAATTCACCTTTTCCATTTCTGTTTCGAATAATACACCTGCCTTTTCAATGTTTCCAAATGTTGTTTGCAAGTGAGGGTTGTTTGATTTTATTTCTGTGGTGTTTAGATCCATGGCTGTACCTGCAGCCGTTTCTTGTAGTCTGGCCGGCATCGTGTGATCGGGTATGTCTCCTGGTGAATTCGAGCCTTTTTGCAGTGATGTTTCGCTAGCACTAATATACTCCACACCCTGACCTGTGTTCGTGTTGGAGGTAGTTATTGCTGGTGCAGAAACGTCGTGGTTTGCGTACTTCTGCACACCGCTATCACTTTGGTCCGGGGCGCTGTGGAGCGAGTCTACGGCTGTGTTCGTTTTACCGCTACATATTGCACCCATTTCATGTTAGAAGTTCGACTTTGTCTGAAACGATAAATTAATAATCTTTTAAAATAGTATATATACAGAGTGTATACACTCTCTCACTCTATACACTTTACCGTCTTACTCAAAGGGACCTGAGCTACAGCTATATTTGGACCTAAACGTCAACAAATGCACTCTCAATTTGTTAAGTTATGTAGCTGGTTAAAAAGGAAAGAGAAGAAGAAAAACAAACTGAACAGGTTAGTTCAGGTCCAAATATATCTGAAACTAATTCTATGGTCCCTGTGGTGTTATTGTATCGGCTGTCACCTTAGCTGTAAGTAAACTTAAAATATGTGACCAATAACACTGTGGATGTCCTTCATTTCATACTATTTTACCAGCGCACATTTATAAGAGCTAGGTTATAAATATGAATACGAGCTGTAAGTTGGTCAATATAATTAAACGGAACATAATTGCAGGCTTCGAATTTCAGCACGGTCGCCTGTTTACATGAAATGATAACTGAAGTTTGTCTGTTTACTGCTCTTTGAATGCGGGTATTTATCGCTCGAATTCATCTTGTATAATAGCTGTTCATTGTGTTAACTAAGTGTTACTGCCAGAGAACAGTGTTCTTTGCACTACTTCTCCCTATTACAGTTGTAACAAAGCAAGGACACGTGAAACAGACATAATTGTACCGGCAGACTTTTTACAAGGTCTTTTACGTGATTTACCTGATCTTCAGTCTGTTGTCAGCATCTGTTGCTTCTTACCCAGTTAAGAAAGATACCATACAAATTCAAAAAATAAATGGATACAAAACTATCGAAACACGCACGTTTAGTGATACTAGGAATAACTAAACAAGGACGTGTTTTGTTACTGAAACTACACAAACACTAGTGTACCCTATTACACACATGTACTGTTACTTTTAAACTATAGAAACACACGTGTACTGTTGCTTAAAACTATAGAAACACACGTGTACTGTTACTAAAAACTAAAGAACACACGTGTAGTGTTACTTAAAACTATAGAAACACACGTGTACTGTAACTTAAAACTATAGAAACACACGTGTACTGTTACTTAAAACTATAGAAACACACGTGTTCTGTTACTAAAAACTATAGAAACACACGTGTACTGTTACTAAAAACTATAGAAACACACGTGTTCTGTTACTTTTAAACTATAGAAACACACGTGTACTGTTACTTAAAACTGTAGAAACACACGTGTACTGTTACTAAAAACTATAGAAACACACGTGTACTGTTATTTAAAAATATAGAAACACAAGTGTACTGTTACTTAAAACTATAGAAACACACGTGTACTGTTACTTTTAAACTATAGAAACACACGTGCACTGTTACTAAAAGCTATAGAAACACACGTTTACTGTTGCTTAAAACTATAGAAACACACGTGTACTGTTACTAAAAACTATAGAAACACACGTTTACTGTTGCTTAAAACTATAGAAACACACGTGTACTGCTACTTAAAACTATAGAAACACACGTGTACTGTTACTTAAAACGATAGAAACACACGTGTACTGTTACTTAAAACTATAGAAACACACGTGTACTATTACTAAAAACTATAGAAACACACGTGTACTGTTACTTAAAACTAAAGAAACACACGTGTACTGTTACTTAAAACTATATAAACACACGTGTACTGTTACTTAAAACTATAGAAACATACACAGTACGTGTACTGTTACTTAAAACTATAGAAACACACGTGTACTGTTATTTTAAAACTATAGAAACACACGTGTACTGTTAATTAAAACTATAGAAACACACGTGTATTGTTAATTAAAACTAAAGAAACACACGTGTACCTTGCTTAAAACTGTAGAAACACACGTGTACTGTTACTAAAAACTATAGAAACACACGTGTACTGTTAATAAAAACTATAGAAACACACGTGTACTGTTGCTTAAAACTATAGAAACACACGTGTACTGTTACTTAAAACTATAGAAACACACGTGTACTGTTACTTTAAACTATAGAAACACACGTGTACTGTTACTAAAAACTATAGAAACACACGTGTACTGTTGCTTAAAACTATAGAAACACACGTTTACTATTACTAAAAACTATAGAAACACACGTGTACTGTTAATAAAAACTATAGAACCACACGTGTACTGTTACTAAAAACAACAGAAACACACGTGTACTGTAACTTAAAACTATAGAAGCACACTCGTACTGTTACTTAAACCATAGAAACACACGTGTACTGTTCTGAAAAACGATAGAAACACACGTGTACTGCTGCTTAAAACTATAGAAACACACGTGTACTGTTACTAAAAACTATAGAAACACACGTGTTCTGTTATTAAAACTATAGAAACACACGTGTTCTGTTGCTTAAACTATGGAAATACACGTGTACTGTTACTTAAAACTAAAGAAACGCACGAGTACTGTTACTTAAAACTATAGAAACACACGTGTACTGTTACTTAAACCATAGAAACACACGTATACTGTTACTTTGAAAACTATAGACTGTTACTTTAAACTATAGAAACACACGTGTACTGTAACTTAAAACTATAGAAGCACACGCGTACTGTTACTTAAACCATAGAAACACACGTGTACTGTTACTTAAAACTATAGAAACACACGTGTACTGTTACTTAAAACTATAAAAACACACGTGTTCTGTTGCTTAAACTATAGAAACACACGTGTACTGTTACTTAAAACTAAAGAAACGCACGTGTACTGTTACTAAAAACTATAGAAACTCATGTGTACTGTTACTTAAACCATAGAAACACACGTGTACTGTTACTTTTAAAACTATAGACTGTTACTTAAAGCTATAGAAACACACATGTACTGCCACTATAAAAGAAACAATGTATTCACCTTGTGTACATCAATATAACTATATAGTTACACGTGCTAATCGAGTATTGAGTAAGTAAAATAACGTAGATAATAAAATGTTAAAGAATAGAAACCTATCAATATACATTATAGATCAGAATATTTGTATTCGAAAAAAACTAAGGCCGTGTTGTTCCAATATATTATCTGCATGAAAGCACAGCTCTACACACTGCTAATCAATATTGACTTACCATAGTCACACATTTTAGGCGACATGTATGCAATCAGGGTGACTACCTTCTTGCTCGTGTAGGAGATCACCACTACATGTATAACTTACACTAACCCACCTTTAAGCTATACGTGTCGAATGTGTTTATATACTATCCGTATTATACGATGTGTCACCGTATAAATAGAGTGTCCTGAGAAATCCCAGGGTCTCCTACCATGTCCTACAGATCCGGCCGGTGCTGACAGTGTGTAAGGGGAATAACCCACACACAGATACCTACGTTGTCAATAGCGATTAGTCTCAACACAGGTGAGGAATTCCAGTAATTATCCAAAACAGAAGGTTTGTCCGATTATTCCTGGGGGTTGGTTTCTAACGCCGGAAATTTTACGGATTGTCCCTTGATTTGAGGTGACATGCAATGTGTCGTCCAGTTCCTATGACCTGCATTACCTGTACGGTTTAGGTAAACACGGCCCCTCTGTCAGGTGGGTATCGGCCTGTTTGTATTTATCTATGGAATCAATATAGCGGTAAGGATTTAAATATCCCCTATGTGTTTAGTCACCATTTCCCACACCAAGTTTTTATTTATAACGATTTTACCTGTATCAATAACACGGTACACCTTTAAATTTCCGTATTTGCTGTTAATATATGATCACTCCAAACTACTCAGTACACAATATATACAGTATATGATTCCAGTTTCGTCATTCCTGAGACGTTGGGTTGGGGATCCCTGTCCTACTGCAGGAAAAACACTTCACAATTCTGTTGTTGTTTTGTGTACGTCGAGTTGTTTTCGCTATAACTGTAGAGGGACAGGGCCGGATAACTATCCCTGACCAGATATCTCAGTCGTTAGGAGAGACTGTTATGTGTTTTGATGTCCAGCGTTCGAACCTGTCCTGGTAACGTTTTGTTTTCACTTTTTTTAACACAGAACACTATTTTTAATACAGACCAATTAGTCAAGGTACAATGTACATGAAAAACAAATAACGGAATTATATTTTGTCACTTCAAATATAAATAATATCAAAGTCTTACATTCTACACAAACAATGTACGTGTTAACATGTCGTTACATTTAAAGACCGACTGGTGCCATTGTCGATAGCTTGACAAAGTGACCAGTCGGTCTTGAAAATATTTGAAAATATTTGTGTAGAATTTTAAACTTTGATATCACAGAAAATATAAGTAGTGTTCAAATTTGTAAGCACGCTAACTTTGTTTAGAGCATGTTGTCTATGTGAAACAAAGTTAAAAGCAATAGCTCCTTAAACAGGAGTTCGGCTACCTCTACAATGTAATAAAAAGGAACATGTTATAGAGTGCAACGTTTAACTCACAAACAAACCACAACAAACATGTATGTCAAGAGGTCATCGATTGGGACTTAGATCCTACCTACTTAGTCATTTGGTAATTAGATATCCACTAAACCATTATGTAGAAGAAACAATACAGTGAAATACGTAATGGACTAAGTACCAAGGACAATAACAGAGAATAATAATACACACGAGAGACATTTAAATCACATCTGACAATTAATCCAGTAGACAATTAGGTAAAGATGGAACGTGCACTCAGCCTCTGAGAATTTTGGAAAGCATTTTTTTTCCTTATTTTGGAGATTGTTCTGCTTATTGTCACATTGAATGTGTGATAAATAGGTTTTTTAAAGAGGTGCCCCGGCAGGACAAGAGAAGGTAGGCCCCAATTTCAAACAGCACTATCCATAGTTTACTATGGCCAAGCCACCTATCGTGTCTAATTGATAAATAATGATAAAGCTAGGTCGAACTAATAAGACTTATTTTATTTGCATTTCAAAAATAAACTTTGGGGTCCGAACTTTTGTGATACACGTTTGTTTATATTGTAACGGTTGAGCATGGCGGGACCTCACGTGGCGGAACCTCACGTGGCGGGGAGAGTGCTTGTTATAGGAACGTTATATCACACGCGAAGATCAATATGTTAGGAAAGATGAACGACGCTGTAATTTTGACTGCGATATCATATTTTTCGGGTGGTACCACTTCAAAACTGATCGGTCAATTACATTGTGTTGTAGTGTTAGAACTGTTTTTTCGTTTTAAAACAAGACAACAAAAGAACGATATTTGTGTAGAAAGTTACAACACTGGTGTAAGACAAACAAACAGCCTACTGAGAAACGTTAATAGTCAGGCTTTTGGACCAACGGGCAACCATGTCCATTCATGTATGGTGTCGACGTCGATGTAAGCGATGTCCGCTTCTTATGGCGCATCTTCTTGGAATAACAAATACTTGGCTTCCAGTTACATTGCAGAGATAAAACAGGGTCTTATAATATCAGCACATCATACATAGCAGAAAGGTTTGCTACACAACTATGTACAAAACTGAATTAATCGTCATTTCGTGGGTCAATATCCATGGATATCAATATGTCGTGCCCATGTGTCGAATTTGTTTTCTGGGCAGGACCTACGTTAGTTTTGTGATATCTGGCGGCTTCTTTTCTTGAGCAAGACACTTCAGTTATTGTAGTTTCGTGAATGTGAGCATATTTTTATTCCGTTTCAGTCGATTTTAAATCTCCAAGGATTGGACGTTTTAAGGACGGGATTGTTACATGTGTACATGTATTTGTTGAAATGAGTTCCCATATTCTTAACACAGTTTGTTGAGTTTTATTTGATAAATAATGAATGCTCGTTTGAACTGGTGAATTAAGAGAGTTACAGAAATAGTAATGCAAGAGGAGTAACTCCAATATTGACAACAAATTATCTCCCAGGGTGAGAGAGCAATATACGCACGCTGGCACAGATCGTTCATCCAGCACTCCTTGGATCATCGCCATGCAAATCTGGGGAATTTATGGTAATGTACATGTATTTAGTTTTAAAATATCTTATAGGCATTAAAAACCAATACTAGGCCAAGACATCATTTTTATCATCATCCAGCCACCTATATTAATCAAATGATTTTCATTCAACATTTTTAATAATAATAAACTTTAAAGCAAGATAAATACAATAACAACTAATGATTATTTAAATTCTCTTTGTATTAAGGATGAAGTCAGATACTTCATCACTAAGTTGTCATTGATTTTTAAAATTTGGACATTCAAAATAATTGTGGTAAGGGGTTTCTTGATCCTGTCTGCAATCACAAACAAATGACCATTATAGATGTCAATATTCAAGTTACTGGCATTTTTTCGCATTTGGCATAAGACAATATTAACTATTCTGCATCCAGAATGTTTGAATATGAAGTGCCGAGGTTGTCAATCGACCTAGCAATGCTGTTTTTTAATAACAAAGATAACATTTTCGAATCCTGCGTTATACATTCCACCATAATGAACAAACATATGTTGATTATATTTATTCTACCAAGTAAAATGTAACGAGAGTCTTTCCCGTGTCTACTTCAGTGTCCATACGCCTATGATAAGCAATGTGACATAGATTCTTTAGCGCACGCTAACATTTGTCACGTGATACCTATATGTCTTTATTTCACAACGAACTGCGCGTTTCATCATTTCTGACCCTATGAATAGGTGTTCTCTTAAGGTCTATTTAAACTAGATACATTTGAGAATAACCTTTTAAAATGTTCAGCCATCCGGGCGACAGACGATAAACAATAAACACTGACGTCATGCTTTATGCCAGATGTTTTATTCAACCACGTCAACAAATATATCAACATCGTTCGTCAACAAATAAAATGAACATTTGATAGATTTACAAACACTTTTTTATGTCACGTTCGCAGTAAGTTCATCGGAACATTTTGATTATTAGCTTGATAGGTTAAAAGTAAATCTAGAGATAAACAGAAGTCGTTGTTTGTCCGCTAGCAAATCCTCAAATAAATACAAAATCAAATGCGGGTACTTGGCTTCATTCGATAGATAAAACCGGTACCTTTGCAGGGGGAGATTTTAGAAGAGCGTTGGTCTTTGGAATATAATACACGCGTGTCTTTGGAATATAATACACGCGTGCGCATGGTCTTCCGTCCAATTATCCATGGTTAATAACCAATGAAACGTGTCGTTACATCGAAACATAGTAGAATTCATTATAAATCTAACAGCACGACAGTTTCATGATTAGACAACCGAAGGTCAGTTTCACTATAGTCATATGAGTTCAGTTTCAGCATGAAGCTGACGTACATCTTCTTTTGTTCTTACAAAGTCACACCTGGCCGCGATGTGATTTGTAAACAGTCCAACCCTCGGCCACTTTCTGTCCAGGGTAGGTGAACAAATAAATTAGTGTAAATATAAGCCGCCAATTTACTAGATGTTTAAAGTCAAGACATTCATGCTACACAATCTCTACCTTATAGATGTAACACAAACTTGAAAGGTGACAATGTGAATCAGACACATTGTAAGACAGCTACATATCGTTTCAAAGAAAGGAGAATATTAAACTAAAACAAACAAACAAATACAGAGGTTACATTTATCAAAATGGCGCACCCGTCACGTCACTCGCCGAGAAGAAGACTTTGCTAGAATATAAGTAATTTCATAAGGGAGATCATGAAAAAATCATTAAATACAAATCAATATATTGATTAATTGGACATTGGGAATTCAATTTGGTGTAATCAATGGCAAATGTATACTCTGCTAAATAGGGATCACATGATGGATTGCCTCCCCAAACGGACGTCATGCTGCATAATAGTAAGATTGTTTAGGGGTGTGCCACTTCAGTATTGCTTAGCCTTACAGAGGGGATATTTCTACATGACTCTCACAGTAAAATAGACATAGCATTATGTACAAAAGATAACTTCACAGAAAAACAGTGTAACATTATTTTGACTTTAATAAGTCTGAATACAATAGATATCCTTTCATACATCTTTAAAATCTAAGGCTTTATAAATCACTTGAATAAGAGGGATAAGTTAAACTAGAGGAACTACGTATGTTAACAAACAAACGTCAAAGGACAATGTCATCAGCTCGATCTTTGGGTATATATTGCTTAAAGCACAATATTTCATTCCGCTCTCAGCACATTAAAGGTTCATACAATGTGTTAGAAGATACTTTATCACGTTTTCAGGCAAGCAAATTTCGGTATAATCACCCGCTTGCCGACAAGAAACCCACTCCAGTGCCTGATCTAGTATCGTTTATAAGCTTATTGATTTGTACGATTATGGGCTAAGAATAAATTGAAATCTTCATACAAATGTACCTTAAATGTTAAGCATCTGTCAACATACGGCCTCAAGGTGATGCCAGGGCGCTCAGTCGTGCTCCACGCTAGCGCAGATTTTTCGACCATACTCATGGTTTTCTTACTCTAGATAAGTCTACAGTATGAGGTAACCTTGTACTCCGAAGCTGCAACATGCTATGCTAATCTTTAATTGTTTGTAAGAATTGCCAAATATGTTCTCACTGTTTGATTTCACCTTGTTTACCTACTACCTTTCTATCAACTGAGCCACAGGGACCTGAGAATTTGTTATAGCTACATTTGTATGTTTGGATCTAAGCTAAGTTGATTAGCGTAATTGTACAAGTTTTAGATCAATTTTCGGAAAGATTTTGTAGCTGGTAAACTACAGAGAAATTGGAAGCTGTTTCGTGAAGAATATGTTATAATCCATACAAAAATACAATAGCTATATTTAAATCACAGACATAGTTTCACTTGTACCCAGAACGACAAGAAAGGCCCTGATTATGTTGTATAAATGAGTGTTTAAAAAATACTTAATGACAAAGAATATGTCTTCTTTTTGTGGCAATCAAGCCCGTTCAAAAATCAATTGTTAAGCCAACTTACTAATAACATTTGTGTTCAACTGTCACATGGAGATTATACCATTCTTACATTTTGTTATATGTGCTCCTTAACCCATTTGCCGCATTTTGTTTATATTTCATTATGCTAGTGTTTTGAAGTTGGATCTATATAATTCGCACTTAAACGACAGCCCTGTTATCCCACTGAAGACTGTGATAACTTCTTCCTCCATTGCCCTTTTCATATGAACTAGCCCTCATTAACTACATATCCGAGCTGAGTGATGATAATCTATTGAAAGTCCTAACTTGTCCTTATGGTTGTCAAAGATTTAATAAGTGTATTTGTTGTTGCCAGTATTGGTCGGTTCGTCATGGGGTTCCAGCTCAGAATGATGCGGGTTTATAGACAATGGACATTAAACTTTAGCTCTTGTAACTTTATAAGAACATTGCTAAAATGTAGTGTCAACCGTTACCTTAAGGTCCATATTTCTCTAATGACTCGACGTACAGAATAGCAGGAAATTAACTGTCAGTGTATCTTCATTGTGTGTTACTTTCCACGTGTTTTCTTCCCATACATGCACCCGATAAAGCCCCGTAGAACTGGTTTCGCTCTACTGTTGGTTCGGCCTGTACTACGTACCGATTTATTTTACACCTGCTGTGTTTAATGCTTCTAGTTCCTTACTTAGCTGAACTGATCGATGATTACTTTTATCATAGAGAGATGATATATCTTACTATTGAGTTACATCAGATTATATAAAAGGAAAGCAAAAGGAGAGAAAGAGAAGATTGGAAAGGGGTATTTATGCTAACGGATTTTACTACAAGTTTTTGCTAATATGAGTCAATATTTCAGCAAAGGTATTTATTGGGTTGTGGAGGTTCGTTAAGCCTTCCTGCACATTGCATCGAGGTAAAGGTTCTTCAAAAGGGGATTACTGTTACAGAATATCAGGAAATGATAACTCCAACACGGATCATCAATGAGCATCCATTAATAATCAGGTGAAACTGACGAGTAAACGACAGTTCAGGAACCCCAGATCTTCCAGATTTGACAGGAATTACATTAATAAGCCCGAAATCTTTAACTCCATAAACAATACTGCGTTTCTCCGATGGTTACCAGTAAACACCAGATGTTCGCGGGATCACTCATAAACACCAGATGTTTGCGGGATCACTCATAAACACCAGATGTTCGCGGGATCACTCATAAACACCAGATGTTCGCGGGATCACTCATAAACACCAGATATCCCAGTTAACCAATATACTAATATATTCGAGGTTAGACAAAAATGCCGAGAGTTCACTAATAAATCCCAAATCACATCGATCGTTGACTTCCTGCAGATACTATATGATACAATACATTGAGAAGTCAAAATTAACATCAAAACATTAATTTATTTTTCAATTATGCAGTGACGGCAAATTATACATCATATATGTAATCGTATGTAATAATCTAGAATCAACATAAAACCATTTACACCTACACACAAACAAACATAGGCACAAAAAGGGATTATTATATATTAATATTATCGATATTAACAACACATAATAAATATGATAAATTGTTATCATTCATAGAATACTACTGCCCTCCCACACTTGAAAAACACTTGGTAAGTATGAGCTGTTTTAATGTGTGTAGGTAAGTAAAAAAAACCATCTTTCTTGTACTAATCAGACAACATATATGTCTCTAATCAGCTAACGTCTATGTCTCTAATCAGCTAACGTCTATGTCTCTAATCAGACAACATATATGTCTCTAATCAGCTAACGTCTATGTCTCTAATCAGCTAACGTCTATGTCTCTAATCAGACAACATCTATGTCTCTAATCAGACAACATCTATGTCTCTAATCAGACAACATCTATGTCTCTAATCAGACAACATCTATGTCTCTAATCAGACAACATCTATGTCTCTAATCAGACAACATCTATGTCTCTAATCAGACAACATCTATGTCTCTAATCAGACAACATCTATGTCTCTAATCAGACAACATCTATGTCTCTAATCAGACAACATCTATGTCTCTAATCAGACAACATCTATGTCTCTAATCAGACAACATCTATGTCTCTAATCAGACAACATCTATGTCTCTAATCAGACAACATCTATGTCTCTAATCAGACAACATCTATGTCTCTAATCAGACAACATCTATGTCTCTAATCAGACAACATCTATGTCTCTAATCAGACAACATCTATGTCTCTAATCAGACAACATCTATGTCTCTAATCAGACAACATCTATGTCTCTAATCAGACAACATCTATGTCTCTAATCAGACAACATCTATGTCTCTAATCAGACAACATCTATGTCTCTAATCAGACAACATCTATGTCTCTAATCAGACAACATCTATGTCTCTAATCAGACAACATCTATGTCTCTAATCAGACAACATCTATGTCTCTAATCAGACAACATCTATGTCTCTAATCAGACAACATCTATGTCTCTAATCAGACAACATCTATGTCTCTAATCAGACAACATCTATGTCTCTAATCAGACAACATCTATGTCTCTAATCAGACAACATCTATGTCTCTAATCAGACAACATCTATGTCTCTAATCAGACAACATCTATGTCTCTAATCAGACAACATCTATGTCTCTAATCAGACAACATCTATGTCTCTAATCAGACAACATCTATGTCTCTAATCAGACAACATCTATGTCTCTAATCAGACAACATCTATGTCTCTAATCAGACAACATCTATGTCTCTAATCAGACAACATCTATGTCTCTAATCAGACAACATCTATGTCTCTAATCAGACAACATCTATGTCTCTAATCAGACAACATCTATGTCTCTAATCAGACAACATCTATGTCTCTAATCAGACAACATCTATGTCTCTAATCAGACAACATCTATGTCTCTAATCAGACAACATCTATGTCTCTAATCAGACAACATCTATGTCTCTAATCAGACAACATCTATGTCTCTAATCAGACAACATCTATGTCTCTAATCAGACAACATCTATGTCTCTAATCAGACAACATCTATGTCTCTAATCAGACAACATCTATGTCTCTAATCAGACAACATCTATGTCTCTAATCAGACAACATCTATGTCTCTAATCAGACAACATCTATGTCTCTAATCAGACAACATCTATGTCTCTAATCAGACAACATCTATGTCTCTAATCAGACAACATCTATGTCTCTAATCAGACAACATCTATGTCTCTAATCAGACAACATCTATGTCTCTAATCAGACAACATCTATGTCTCTAATCAGACAACATCTATGTCTCTAATCAGCTAACGTCTATGTCTCTAATCAGACAACATCTATGTCTCTAATCAGCTAACGTCTATGTCTCTAATCAGCTAACGTCTATGTCTCTAATCAGCTAACGTCTATGTCTCTAATCAGTCAATCACTAATCAGACAACCTTTATATCATCATCATCACGACATATACACAATGGCATTCATCATCATTTTCATCATTATCATCATCATATATACACAATGACCATCATCATCATCACATATACACAATGACAATCATTATCATCATCATCATCACATATACACAATGACCATCATCATCATTAGCATCATCATCATATATATACAATGACAAACATCATCATTATCATCATCATCACATAAACACAGTGACCATCATCATCATCATCATCATCATCATCATCATCATCATCATCATCATCACATATACACAATGACAATCATCATAAGCATCATCATCACATATACACAATAACCATCATCACCATCATCACATATACACAATGACAAACATCATCATCATCATCACAAACATAATGACCATCATCACCATGAACATCATCATCAACACATATACACAATGACCATCATCACCATGAGCATCATCATCATCACATATACACAATGACAATCATCATCATTAGCATCATCATCACATATACACAATGGCAATCATCATCATCATCATCATCATCATCATCATCATCATATACACAATGACAATCATCATCATCACATACACAATGACAATCATCATCATCATCACATATACACAATGACAAACATCATCATCACCACATATACACAATGAACATCATCATCATCATCACCACATAAACACAATGACAAACATCATCATCACATATACACAATGACCATCATCATCATCATCATCATCACATATACACAATGACAAACATCATCATCATCACATATACACAATGACCATCATCATCATCACATATACATAATGACAAACATCATCATCATCATCATCATCACATATACACAATGACAATCACCATCATTAGCATCATCATCACATATATACAATGACAAACATCATCATCATCATCATCATCATCATCATCATCACATATACACAATGACAAACATCATCATCACATATACACAATGACAAACATCATCATCATCATCACATATACACAATGACAAACATCATCATCATCACATATACACAATGACAAACATCATCATCATGACATATACACAATGACAACATCAACATGTTGAGAGTTTAATATCACACAAGAGCGATATAATCTAGTAATAACGTCGGTTAGATTTATGTTGAGTTATTTGTAATTATAAATGATCATACATATGAACAAGAATTAATGTCCGAAAGTACCGTTTGTTCATCTAGTATATATAGTGTTAATCTATTGGTTTATGCTTGCTAATGTCATTGTCCATGCCTCAGCGAATTGAATATCGAGTTGTTCTAAATATTTTCTCGTATACAAACTTTTGTACATTTCTGAAATGTCTGCTGGATAATCAGCTTGTGTTGACGAAAGAAACCCGACTAATTGTTTACTTTTCTGGTACAAATCTAACTCTGCATTGAAATCTCTCAAACTGTTATGAGCGTTTCTTTCTTGAGTCACATAAGGAGGCGAAAATGCTAATCGAACATCCTTTCTGTGAAGAAAATGTTGTGCTACGTAACCTCTCCAAATATCGCTAACACGTCCATTTACACTGATAGGTAATGCCATATAAGGAAATGCGGGTGCTAACCAGAGCGTTGCCTGAGCATTGAATGGTGCATACGTATTTCTGGGCAAAACGAATGGCGTGTGCGATTTTCGTGTCGCAAGAAAGTCAAAAGGAGCATCGCGTGTCATTCTATAAACAGCATCGATGTCAGGTTGCTGATTTGCTAATGATTGTACTATGCCAAGACTAAAGGAATCACGTGAGTTACACAGTTTAGGTAGTGTCTTTTTGTTTTTAATATCTTCCAGTGGAAACCCTCTCGGCCAGGTATAGGTTTCTTTCACTCCGAAATAGGGATAAGGGTTCAGAAGAACATGCTGTGTACCTTTGCAAACTGTGACATAAGAAAAAGAAGCATCAGTTTTGAAATCATTTAAATCAACTGTTCCAATATTATCATCATCGAAATCCCAAATATATTTAGCTTTGTGATGTATAGCATACATATATCCTATATTTTTTCTTCCAAAGTGGTTGATTGGTATAATGTCCGATAATAAAGGATAAAGTATGCTTTGTTCTTTCACTGAAAGATATTTGACTCTGTTTGAAGAAGTCTCATTTATTCCCATTTCAGAAAGGTATTTATCCTCTGGTGGTGTTTTCGCGTCAGCCACTATTACTAAGCACCAATTTGACTGTGAGGCTATTTCTTTCACAGCTTTAGCAGGAGAGAAGATCGTCGTAACAACAGCCCAATTATCGTACGCTGACATCTTGTCTAAGGCTGCCAAATACGTGTGTCTATTTGTTAGTGACTGTTGTGGTAGTGCCCGTACAACATCACCCGAAAACAATGATCCTGTCACAGCACCAACAAATCCACCGGATGAAGACAGTACATGTTTGTTATGTCCATGCAGTTTTTTCATGGCATCTACAGACGATTTATGGTTAAGGACATATTTCGAACAGAAGCCCGGCTTTATATTTTGCAGTAACGCTGCTTCCTGGCCACGACCCATATGAACAATCCTTTTGTTATCAGGTTGGAAGTCGATGTCATCGTATATTGACAGCCAAGATCCTAACGATGTCCCGCCAAAGTTGGTATCTATTAAATCTGTTTTAGCATCGCATTTCTTTCCGGTACAATATTTACGCTTGGCGATTCTTTCTACCAAATCTTTACCGAGAACTACAAACATTTCATCCATACGTGTATCCATAGTGACTCTTTTTCCTTTACCATGTGTCCACCCATAATACAACGTCGTTGATTTGAGTTCATCGAGTCTCTTAAAAATCTGCGGAACACAAAGAAACGTGTCATCATCTACTTTTGCCCCAAGTAAGGCATCCGGAAAATGTTCATGAATGTATTTAAACCACAAATACAGCTTCTCTCCAAATTTTACGCCCCTGCCTTCGCTAGTTGCATTAAGAAAAACAATATCGTTGTACTTTTTGTTTTCCAATACTGTATCATGTGTAGGTCGATCTATAAGAAACTTGTATTCTATTTCAAAAGGAAGCTCTGGTTTTAACTGTTGTATAGTGGATAGCCATGTCGATCGTTGCGTATCTCTGTAGTCGGTATGCGTATGTGGTGTCAACATTCCTAGGACAAATAGGGGTCTGCTGTTTAAGTTCAATGATGGAACTCTGTCTGCATAATTTGACTGCGTAGCTGCATGGGAGTTTGTTGGTGCGCTGGGGGCGAGGATGCCGTAGAGGGTAGCCAAACACACTAAAAATATCACTACATTCTTGCTTCTGCGGCACTTTGAAGTCATTTGGATTCGAAGTCTGTTCATGCTCATGTTATATCTGAAAATAAACAGTACATGTGATTATTTCAATTAAGAAAAATGATTATGATATAAAACAAGAAAACAAATACATGAAACAACTAACCCCAATAATATAAATATAACAAGCAGTTACAGTATGGGAATTATTGATTCAGTTTAAGTGAAAACAAACCTGCGAGACATACCTATAAGAATAATTAAAAACGTCCATTTTCGTATTACATAATGAAAAAGAAGGTTTCTCAATGACATCTTAATGATGACTGCAAAATTTGTCCAGTCTTCACCGACCCGAATCTCTCTGAACCGGTTATAGGTTATCAGCTACAATTCTGTAGCAAAAGTTTTAAAGTTAAGCTGACTCAACTGAATTTGATCTATGCATAGACGCACGCACTGTTGATACACAAACGAAATGATCAACACATCTTTTGTTTCATTATGATAAAATAATATAAATATATTGTTTGTTTAAGAAAATGAAAAATAAATAGGATTTTCTTTTGGAAGTGCTCAAAATGCTTCATTTTGGGTACCCTTGCGATACCATGTTGTTGGGAAGGAGTACTCTTAAGCATCCTACCTAAATATATAAAGTGAATACCCTTTCTGAAATATTGATGGGCAGATTGGTCGAGTGGTAAACACTCCGGCCTTACACGCAGGCGGCCTGGGTTCGATTTTCAGAGAAACAGTTTTTCTCCTGCCCACACAACTCCAACAACCCAGGCGGAGTATTAATTGGTCTGGGGTGGATGTTGCGGTACCTATACTGTAGCATTCAAGTGAGGTGGCACTATAAATGATGCCGTTAGAAGCACGGTTTCACTACAAACAGAACACATCACATCTTCAGCACACACGCAGGCATACACATATAGGGACCCATTATTCAGGTGGCATAGGACTAGTAGTTAGAGTCTGTTAAGGGAGCTCCTGCGAATTCCTCAAAATTGTATTGTTTAATGTATATGCTAATTGTATTAATTGTATATCTATGTACTGTAAAGCGCTGTACTGTGGCTTGTGTTAGCTAGATAGGGCGCTATATCAAATGTTGTATAGTATATCATTATTATTATATAAGTAAGCAAACAAAGGTTCCAGCTTTTTCGTTGTATTGATTGTATTGGTCAGAACGACTTAAAGCCAGGCGTTATTTACATTGGGGGGTTTCGATGCACTGATCATTAAACCAGTGGCTATAGTCAGGCCGACTAACTAAAAGACAGGCGTTATTTACTTTTTCCAGTGGCTATAGTCAGGCCGGCTTATATAAATGCCGAACAGTGTACGTGTATGGAATGCCAACAGGGTCAAACTGTACATACTGCATGCTTCATTCAACATGCATCATTCACCATACTATTGTATGTCTCATTGTAAATACAGCATGTGTATAAATATTTCATTCGTTCTAAATTTATCTAAATGATATGTATGTCATTTTGAAATCTTCATTATACACTCGATATTTTGACGTCATAATGTATTGATAAGCATGACGCCATTATATTCTAAGCTGTGATTTGTCCTATCATCCTGACCATGTACCTCCAAAGAGGTGAAAGCGCCAGGGAGCTTTTCAGTATCTCGTTTTATGTAACCCATTTTTCTTCCTTAAGGACTTCGCACACTTCGTAATACACATGTTTTTCTTGTCGTATTTTCGTGTCGTCATTTCCGTATTGCGTATCGGTCATTCCATTACCGTAGTGTAAATTATAGTAACACCGGGTAAACAATAGTGCACGTGCGTGACGATAAGATGTGTACACCCGATATCGAGACTTAGCTTTGAAATGTGTAATCACACGTACTTCAGCTCACGGGAAGACACTGACATAAGATCAGAAGACTTCAATAAGGTCGTATATGAGGCGCATTGAATTCAGACCGATGCGTTATGTTTACCGACCTCACCTGTACATATGTGCACGTGCTAACAGTAGTTCACAGGTTCGGGGTCGCTACGACTTTTGTTGTCGAGCGAGTTACGCCCTGTCAGAGATATCATTTCACAAATGCAATTACATTAATTCTGTGAAAATAGTGGTTTGTAAAATATCAAATTTCATATAAAATGTAAGTGCATGTGCGTGCACGTGATCACGGCATACCATGCGATAGCCTACGTATACAATGCGTATGCGGGCAATGGAATGATGTTCAAAGTGTACATGATTGAGAGTAATTTTGTTCCATAAAAGAACAGTAAATTGACAATCTAATATAGTAATTTAATTAAATTCCGTCGTTTTGGTATAGTAAAGAAAATAACTGTCACTGTATAAAGTATATCCCTCTGCAAAAAGTTCCGATATTTTAAAGGTAAACAACTCTCATCAGGATCAAAATTATTGTAAAATGTAAAATTAATTAATTATAAAAAAAAATTGTGTGCAATTGGTTCAATTTTTTTCACTCTTTTTGTATGAAACTATGTGTCCTGTTTGCTTTTAGCTTATATATAATAACTTTTATCTATACGATATCAATAAAAAAAACACTGTGTGTAACATGTTGTACATATTTTATGATAAATAAAATATTTGTAGGGTTGATTAGCAATGTTTCTTTTCATTATTTTGTTGTTGTTATAGTTTTGAACAATGCCACACACTCAAAAAATGTGAAAGTATTTAAATTGACAAAAATTCAATTTTTCGGTATTTTTTACAAAAAAATCCCCGGTTTATCGAAATGATTAGATATTCATAAAATCATCTCTGCATAGTGACATAACCATCATGTGAAACTTTCATTGAATTCTGCTGGTTAATTGCGAAAGGGTGGAGCCTCCTTAATCTGTGATATTTCATTGCAGTTAAACAGCCATGCACATAGCTAGATTTAAACTAGAATTATGTCAGTGTGACATTAAAGCCGCTCACCACTTTAAATTTAATTGCTTCAGTAACACGTTGAGCATCAATATCTACTATAATACCTCAGATATGTGTTCTGCATACTGCTAATTGAAAATCAGGTCATGTGATGATGTTGCCTTTGGAATTTCCAAAATGTATCACCTCTTTTAAATGATGCCTTAAAAACATTCTCCCTCTCGTCTTTAAGTGTGACGCGTTGTTGTAATTTTCATTAATTAGCATCCTCCTATGATGTGACATGAGCATTTACGTGCATAATGGCAATCGGTGAATGGATGATAAAGAATAGGTGCATTTTGTGCTTGTGAAATGAAGGACTATTAACAGTAGAGGGAAAACATGCATGGAGAAAAGAGACGCACTCCTTTTATTTTTATTTATTATTTGAATTATATTTCTCAATGCGACTTTACCAATGTAAGAGTTATTTCCCTTACACTGGATTGGATAATATTTTGACACGGTCAAACAGCAGCGGCAGTGGACTGTCATGTTCTTAAATTTTTACATTTTCATAAATAAATACACCAGAAAAAGCATGCTGTGTGACAGAAATGTTTGATAAGCATCCACGGTTTACATATTGTCTCGTCTCAGAGCCATTACCGTTATCAACCTAAGCACGATATGTCATATTACGTTGGCGTTTGAAACATCAAAATAAAGGTTATACTTCATCACTCATACGGTTTATAAGTATATATATTTACTTCTTCCTTCTACAGACAGCGTCTTTCTCGAATCATATGTGTTTCACACGCGTAAACCTCCTCAGACCTGAATCCGAGTTGCTAAAACGCTCAAACCCAGTGCTCAAATTTCACCACCACAACACTCGTAGAATGCTCCAGAGATAAACATTTTGTTTTCAGCAATTATTTAAAGTATGGATTATTATTTGGAGAAGAGTTTCAGAAGACTTTATGTAACCCACAGGTGAGGGTCAGAGATTCTACTTTATATTTACGATAACGAAACTATACTGAACAAAAAAAAGAAACGCACAAATAAATTATGCAATCAATAAGTTTGGGAAAATTTGTACAAAATTTTATATCAATATGAAGGGACAAGTCTACGCTTTACAATACTGTAGAAGAAAAGTCTGTGTGACGTCACTCGTGTCATCAGTAGTTACTTAAAGTGGGATACCCGCGAAAAACAAAATGACACTTCAGTACCTGGTGTGGGCACCTTTTGCACGAATCCCTGCACGGATTCTCCTATGCATTGAATTCATGAGAACATTAATTCGCTTTAAGGGAATGTTGTTCCATTCTTGTGTTCATGCTGCGATCAACTAGGCGCGGTTAGTTTTTTTTTTTTTTACGGTTCCTAATACGCCTGTTCAGCTCATCCCACAGATGCTCAATGGGAGACATGTCGGGTCTATATGGGGGCCATTCCAGAGGCTGAACGTTGTTTGCCGTGAGAAAATCACGACAGACTCTGGCAACATGCGGTCGAGCATTTTCTTGCTGGAAAATTAGGTTATGACGTCTGAGAAGTGGAAACACATGTGGTTGAAGGATCTGGTCTCTGTATCGAACGGCATTGAGGTTTTGATCGAGGACCACTAAGGGGGATCTTATTCCATGGGAGATGCCTCCCCAAACCATTACAGAAGCCCCATCGAATCTATCGCCTTCAACCACGCATGCGTCAGCGAAACGCTCACCGCGTCTGCGATATACCCTTTTTCTTCCGTCTGAGCGATACAGACAGAATCTAGACTCGTCGGTGAACATCACACGCCTCCATCGACGCATCCCAAACCTATTCGGGCCATGCCTGCGCATCCAGTCAAGACGCACTTGCCGCCTCCGTTGTGTCAGAGGTGGCCCGACATAAGGTCAGCGCGCAAGGATTATCTCGGCACGCAAGCGGTTCCTGGCAGTTTGAAGACTAATGGGTCTGCCATGAGTGCCTAAGGTATGCGACGCAGTCTCGACAGCAGTCTTGAATCTGTTGCGCAAGTGCGACAATCGAATCGCCGTTACACGCGGACAACCGCTCCTGGGACGATCGGAAACTAACCTAGTAGCACGGAAACGTGCACAGAGACGGTTAATTGTACACGGGCCAACACCAAACTACCGTGCGACAGCAGTTTGGCTATGACCAT